CTTGGTGGACACGACCCTTGGTGGACACGACCCTTGGTGGACACGACCCTTGGTGGACACGACACTTGGTGGACACGACACTTGGTGGACACGACACTTGGTGGACACGACACTTGGTGGACACGACACTTATCTTAGCAAAAATGGTCATTGGTAAAGAAGGAAAATATCGTTGTTATATATCTTAAAGCACGTGGAATTCTGAATAACCTTTTTGTATTTACTGCATAAATCTACAGCTTTTTAGAAATTGGACAGGCAGAAAAACTAGGATATTTATCATCCGTGATCAGACAAATTTTTAAATGGTACTTTAGTGAAGTCACTTGGAATTAATATTTCAGTCTCTAAATACAAGTTTTTAGTTCTTAAATGTGCATATTAATATATTTCAATTTAATTGCAACTTTGATTTAAATACTAAATGTTAATTCTATTGTATGTATAGATAGTGTTGTTTGTTTTGGTTCATTTTTGATTCATTTGTCAGTTTTTTTTGCAAATATTTATGTATGGGTCAAAAAAAGCAAAAATTTATTGTAAACAATAATTCCAAGCCAAATTGGACCCAGACAAAATTATGGGCTTAAAAGGGATAAATAATATACCAAAATGGTCAACAACATGGGTAGTGTGCAATGAAATAAAAATGTATTATTTTTTAAAGATTTGAAATGTTGCAAGCTCTCAAAAGCTTTTAAAAGCTAACCAAAACGATAAACAAACTATATATATTGTATAGGCTGAATATTTTGATCATTTGATGAGTGGGATTGAAAGTGATGTCTTGGTAGCTAGCCCACAAAATAGATTTAGCCCTCCCTCTCAGGTAGGAACACTTAAAATCCTAAGGAATGACACTGTAAAAATGACTTGAACCTCTGTTTTTTATTGATTTTCTACTTTATTTATCCGATTTAGATTAGGCACCAGTCGACTGACTCTAAAACCGTTGAGATGGCTCTCAACAATGCACAATCTAAGGTATAGTTTACTTAATAAGTAGTCATAAACCTTTTTTGTGTAAAGGAATTGTTTCAGAGTTTACTAAACAGCGTTTTTTTACTAGCCTCGTTTTTTTTTGGACGTTAGCTTTCTATTTGAAACTAAAGCCTTGGAAGGTTAATTCAAGTTAAGTCATTTTTTCAAAATTGTTCTCTTTTCTACAGATGTTAAAAAACGACCAGATCCAGAAACTAAAACTTGTTGAAAAAAAAATTTTGATCGTTTTTCCAAATTTTTTTTACGGATAAAGATGTAGCAAAGTTGTTTAAAATCAAACTTTAAAGTAATAAATTTTTGAAATTTTAAAAGTTTAATTAATTTTGTCTAAATGATTCAAAATGATCAACATTTAACTTAGATATATAAAACATCATAAAATATCATACGTTTGTTTTTCTATTTATTTCTAGAAAGGTTTATTCAAGTTCAGCCATTATTTCAAGAAACACTTACGGGAATTAATATTTTCCACAGATTCATAAAACTTCCAATTTATTCATTTCTTTCACCAAACACAATTTCCTAAATTAATTCATAGATCCAAGCAGCAGATCGTCTAGTAAAGGAAGCTTTGAAGAATATTCCGGAGGAGGGAAGTACTGAACAAACAAGACGGAAATTAAAGGTATTACAATCCTCAAGTGTATGTTAAGACAGAAATTAAAGGTATTTTACAATCCTCAAGTGTATGTTAAGACATAAATTTGGATGTCGGAATTAATGCTTAATCCACTCTTTTTCTCAATCTCCAGATTAAAAAATGTTTGTTTTCCTCTTGTTATTAATCTCCAGATTAATTAACCGATTGGGATTAAGGATATCCCAATCTAACGTTTTCAGCTCTGATCGCTTAATCTGAATATCCACTGTGGAAACTTAATTTTCTTTTAATTCACTCTTGCTTGATATCACAGTTATTACATGTAATTAAGAAAAGTTTGATCACAAATAGAGATATGATGCAATGATGCAATATCACAAGCCGACTTCTAGAGCATTCAAACAATTATGAAAATCATGATAATATAAACTTATTAAAAACATATTTTATCACATTCTTTTTAGTCTTAATAATCAATAATCCAAAACATATGTTCGTTCAATCTATCATTAGTCCAATTGATATGACACCACAAATGCGGGGAAAATTAAAAACCGGGTTTTCAAGTTAAATGGCACATTTCTAATCTCTAGAAATTAATCTTAAGACTAAATAAGTCTAGAGATTGTCTAAAAGAGAGGATCAAGCATTAATTTCTATTCACCATTCTTAAATTTTTAACTCTGGTCTCATTTACTGATTTTTAGACTTTAATGAGATTTTAACCCGATTAAATTGTATTTTGCTTGTATTACAATATGCTAAATTATAATATGACAAAAGATAGTTTTGAACTTGCTTTGGTTAACATATTTGGTTAACATATTTGGTCCAAGGAAATGTAAAAAAGCTTTACTTGCGCTTAGTTTAAAACATGAGCACATGAAGTGGCAGTTTACCATTGATCAAACATATATAAATTTACATAAATACGAGCAAACAGTTTTTTTTATATTTTTCAGTCGTCGGTCAACGAAAGAGACTGCTGAACGGAAACCTGAAGGTATCGTCTCAAGAATTCAGCAAAGTCAGGTATTAAGTCGGGTATTAAGTAAGGTATTAAGTCAGGTATTAAGTCGGATATTAAGTAAGGTATTAAGTCAGGTATTAAGTAAGGTATTAAGTCAGGTATTAAGTTGGATAGTAAGTAAGGTATTAAGTCAGGTATTAAGTCGGATATTAAGTGAGGTATCAAGTCAGGTATTAAGTCGGGTATTAAGTGAGGTATTAAGTCAGGTATTAAGTCGGATATTAAGTGAGGTATTAAGTCACGTATTAAGTCGGTAATTTATTTTCATAATTTCAAGTGACCCTCCATGCAAAGATGGCATTGCTCGATATATATATTGATACCCTTTAAATTTTAATCGGATCAAATATGTGAAGGATCGTGTCGTTCTTCTGACTCAAAGTGTTTAATTCAGATTATTTCTCCATTGTATCTTATAAGCAAGAAATGCGCAAGTCACTTTCGCAGAGAACTCTCGTATGAAAATTAACGGTTTAAAGAAACTAACCTATGGATATTCAATTCATACTTTTTTAGAGCACTAAATCAGACATTGCCATCTTCGCTGAAATTACGCCTACAGTCCCTTTAATAGACTGTAACAAACCTATTCTGAAAGCTCATTAAAAATTTAAATGCTAATTAACTAAGAATTATCTTGTGAGGATTTTATTTATTTAACTTAAAAATATATCAATTAAATTATTTTTCATTCCGAATTCCATTAACTTCTTAATAAATATTTATTCAATTTTTTTTTTGTATTTAATCATTGATTCAGAATTTAAAATAGAGATTTTTTAACAAGAATCAGCTTGGGAACCCAGCTTTGTCTGGAAATTATTTTCTTTAAAATTCAACCTACCACCTTAGCTAAGAGTATTCCCGTGGTTTTGCAGAGTTTCCAAATCAAAATTTAAGGATATTGGGTCAAAGGGATTCACGATGATACTACCAGACATATTTATAAACAGACATATTACTAAAAATCGAGTTACTAACTAGATATGTTCAGTTCAAACCCAGCTTGGGAACCCAGTGTTGCCCATGGCAATCATAGTTAATCCCGCGCTTGATCGTAAAAAAAGATTTTGCCACTTTTCCCTTAAAAGTCAACTCTTACTCAACTCTCCCAAGTTTCCTAATCATAAGTTAAGGCAAATCGGCCAAGGGGTTCATCAGCTTTAATCGNACTGTTTCCTTTAAGGACTTGATCTTAACATTTTCTTAAAATTTGAATTCTCCAAACAGCGAAGATATCAAATTTGAACAGTAAATTATGCCAAATTTAGGGTAACAGCAAAATGGTATCAGATCATTTATCAGGGCACAAGGAAAGCAAAACATTTTATTACAACTTAAGAGTTTTGCAGCCAAAATTGAAACGATTGTCGTTTCCTATGATAAACTCAACTTTTTTCTGTTTTTCAGAATATGAGTTCTGCTCAGACCTTCGTGTCCCAGCCAAGAAATTTAAATCTTCCACCACCTCAGGTTTAATAAAAAAATAATTCTTAATAAAATGTACTGTTATCTCAATTATTTTTCAGACTAATTTTCAAATTCAGCAACAACAGTTACAGCAAACCCATCCAGCTTCAGGCTTTGTTCCTTATAACCTCAGGTAACTGTAGCAGAGTTTGATCCACATGCCTCCATAGTATTTTGTCCAGTATGAATGGCCGTGTTGACTGGACTTGGGTGTTGCCGGGTTCATCACTTATCCTCTGTAGGCGGTTTGGGTCAAATCTTAACTCATATAGTTCGTATATTAAACAATCTAGGAAATATTTGCTCAGATCTCTTTGAATTTACCATGAGTTTTCCGTTTGGTAAAAATAGAATAGAAGGCACTCAGGAAACATATTCTGTGCCAAACAATATTCTAAATATTCAACTTGCTGTAAGGTTTTGTTGGGAGATATCTTCAATTCAATATTCAAAGCTTTAAATTTTTCATTTTCTCTCTTTTAACTACAGTGAAGAGGAAATGTCCCAGATGCTTGCCCTTGGAGTGACTCCAGAAGAGCTTCATGAAATCAATCAGCTCCTGGTTAAAGCAAACAAAGGTAATTTGTTTTACTGATGCAAATAGACATGGAATAAGGCTGCACATGTTTTAGTCTTTGCAAGTTTTTTATATATTCAGGATTTGGTAATTATATGGTGCCACAGATTAAGAATGCTGTCCAGCATTCTGGGTGCAATATTACTGTAAACTATGGTTATTTACAGTAGAGCTATCTTAATTTGTCGCAGCATATCCATCTCTAAAATATTAGATTCATGTTTTTTAATGTAAGGGGAGGGGGTTCAATGGAATGTTGGCTGGGAACTGGGGGGTGATTAGTTGATTGACAAAATTGATATGTTGATATATTAGATTGACAACTAACTTGACAGCTGATTAACATACTGACTTGCACTTAATTATTACAATGTTGCTGATGAGCTGACTAGCTAACCAGTAAATACCTGAGTTACTCGCTATGAACGGACTGAAATCTACTAATCTAATTATTCACTGCAGATGGTGGTAATGCTGAGATAATGAACCTAGTGAATGCTTTAACTGAGGATGAGCTTGATGCCTTAGCAGAGGTATTTTGCTTTCAAAGCTTTCTTCCTATGAAGTCTAAATTTATGAAAGGGAGAAGTGGTTGAACTAGGTACAGAAAGTTGAACTAGGTACACATATAGTTGAATTGGGTACAGATAGTTAAACTAGGTACAGGTAGTTGAACAAGGTACAGCAAGAACTAGGTAGGTACAGCTAGTTGAACTAGGTACAGTTGGTTGAACTAGGTACAGCTGGTTGAACTAGGTACAGTTAGTTGAACTAGGTACTGCTAGTTGAACTTGCACCACACCTTAAAAACAAATCACCATAAACAAGAAAAAAAAAACTCAACATCACCAGGAGCCCCTCTGAGATAATCTGGAAAGGATCTGATGATCAGCTCGACTACACTCAACTTTCCCATTAGTGAATGAAGAATTCATTAAAAGGACCCTTTTCAGTTTAAATGATTTAAGGTGCAAGGGAAGGGTGCCCCCCTCTCTCTCCCCTCTGCCTTAAATAAAGAAATTGCATGAAGAATTTGTGTATCGACAGATTCCAGAAAAAAATGAGAAAGCAAGAGTGGACCTAAGCTTGCAAAAAAATTAGTTTTTGCAGGGCGGATGTGGCAAATAAATTTCTTTTCTTTCTTTTTCAATATCTGCCGCAAAATTGATGACATACAAACAAGAGCAAGAGAATTAAAACTTTGGATTGCAAATAACCAGCACCTGTTCATCTGATGATTTGTACAATCTTGTAAAAAATTCAAAAAATAAAAAAATGTCAAATAGTTTTATTAGGTACAGATAGATAGTTGAACTAGGTACAGATAGTTGAACTAGGTACAGATAGTTGAACTAGGTACAGATAGTTGAACTAGGTACAGATAGTTGAACTAGGTACAGATAGTTGAACTAGGTACAGATAGTTGAACTAGGTACAGATAGTTGAACTAGGTACAGNCAAGGACCTTCTAATCAAGTAGAAAAAACAGAGGTTAGCGAAGTCAGAATAGAGAATATTGAAAAGTGTTCCTTAGCTTCACCTCCTCAGAGTAGAAAGCCCTATGTGATTCAAAATGCAGACAAAATAGTAATTATCGAACATTTTCATGGGAACAACTTTACAATGTAATTATGTAAACCCGAAAAGAATGATGTAATATAATATATTTGATGACAGCTCAGTAAAGCTGTATGTACATGTTTTGATCTTTCCTAGATCAAATATTAAACTAGGTGTAGTTTACTATTTTATTCAAAATTGATTGAGAGAGCGATAAATGTAAAAATAAAATTAAATTAGAGAACTATTTATTTGATAAATCTGTATGGATCACAGGGAGGATAATTACTTATCCTCCCTGTAAAGAGGGAGGATAAGTAATTATCCTCCCTGTAAATAGGGAGGATAAGTAATTATCCTCCCTGGAAATAAAAAAGTAGGGAATTTAAGGTTGGTTATTTCGTTGAACAGGAGATTAAATATATTATAAAATATACTGTGTAAAAGTATATAATTATTACAAAATGTTTAGAAACTAAACATTTAAGTTTATATCTTTTACATTAAGCATCTTAAACTTGAAAACTTTAAACTTTTCTTATCACAAAGTGATATTTCAAGTCTAAGTAATGTTCAATTATGTTAATGTGTTCATAATTGTTAGAATTCTCCTTCCTGTACATATCTAAAATATCAATATTCCAAAAAGGGGTTGTTGAGAAATACAATACAAAATTCAATGTGAAACTTTTCTATATTCTGCTCATGCTTGTTATAATCTGAAAAATGTATGTCAGTTGAAATATTTCATTTTACTACAAAAAAATTTTAGTTTCTAAAAGATGAGCAGAGACACCAAGTGTTGTGATTTTGCAACTCTGTTAAAAATGAAAGATGAAATTCTTCCCGTGATAACTCAAATATTTTACGCGTGATATTTACAAGAATTAAAATCTAGATATTCTGGCATTCCATTACTCATGATTAACACGTTTGGAATATGCGAGCGCTTGCACTGGTATCTTTTCTACGAGCAGAACATGTGAAAAAAACTACAAGAATTGAACTATAGAATTATCTCAAATATATTACGCATGATAATTACGAGAATTAAAATCTAAAAATTCTGGCATTGCATTACTCGAGCTTAACACGATAGGAATATGCAAGATTTTGCACTGGTTTATTTTGCTACGTGTTCAACATGTGAAATAACAACGAGAATTTTCAAAGAATATTTTCGCGTTTTTTACCCGTGCTGTACACAGGAGGAATCTTCAAGATTGTGAAAAGTAGATTTACCACGAGTATAACACAAGGAGGGTAAGTGAATTAATCACGTGAATTATCAACCAGTTCTCCATAATGGTAATCTCCTTGAAAACCTGTGTTTTGTTTGTTTGGTGGTTGAACTAGGTACGGATGATTGAACTAGATACGGATGGTTGAAGTAGATACGGATGGTTGAACTTGGTATGGATAGTTGGAACTAAGTACAGTTAGTTGAACTAGGTACGGTTAGTTGAACTAGGTACGGTTAGTTGAACTAGGTACGATTAGTTGAACTAGGTACGGTTAGTTGAAATAGGTACGGGTAGTTGAACTAGGTACGGGTAGTTGAACTAGGTACGGTTAGTTGAACTAGGTACGGTTAGTTGAACTAGGTACGGTTAGTTGAACTAGGTATGGTTAGTTGAACTAGGTACGGTTAGTTGAACTAGGTACGGTTAGTTGAACTAGGTATGGTTAGTTGAACTAGGTACGGTTAGTTGAACTAGGTACTGCTAGTTGAACTAGGTACAGATAGTTGAACTTGCACCACACCTTAAAAACAAATCACCATAAACAAGAAAAAAAAACTCAACATCACCAGGAGCCCCTCTGAGATACCCAAAATTGATAAATCGGTCAGATAAAAGAATAAAAAACAAAGTTGACCATAAAATCTGGAAAGGATCTGATTATCAGCTCTACACGTATCAACTTTCCCATTAGTGAATGGAGAATTAATTAAAAGCACCCTTTTCAGTTTAAATGATTAAAGGTGCAGGGGAAAGGTGCCCCCCTCTCTCTCCCCTCTGCCTTCAATACAGAAGTTGCATGAAGAAATTGTGTATCGACAGACTCCATGAAAAAAAATGAGAAAGCAGGAGTGGACCTAAGCTTGCAAAAAATATCCTTTTTGCAGGGATGTATGTCACAAATAAATTTCTTATTTTTCTTTTTCAGTATCAGCCGTAAAATTGATGATATACAAACTAGAGCAAGAGAATTAAAACTTGCAATAACCAGCAGCTGTTCATCTGATGATTTGTACAATCTTGTAAAAAATTCAAAAAATAAAATGTTAAAAATAGTTTCTTAGGTACAGATAGATAGTTTAACTAGGTACAGATAGTTTAACTAGGTACAGATAGTTTAACTAAGTGCAGATAATTTAACTAGGTACAGTTTAACTAGGTTCAGATAGTTGAACTAGGTACAGATAGTTGAGCTAGGTACAGATAGTTGAGCTAGGTACAGATAGTTGAGCTAGGTACAGATGGTTGAGCTAAGTACAGATGGTTGAGCTAGGTACAGATGGTTGAGCTAGGTACAGATGGTTTAATTAGGTGCGGTTAGTTGAATTAGGTACGGTTAGTTGAACTAGGTACAGTTAGTTGAACTAGGTACAGTTATTTGAACTAGGTACAGTTAGTTGAACTAGATACAGTTAGTTGAACTAGATTCAGTTAGTTGAACTAGGTACAGTTAGTTGAACTAGGTACAGTTAGTTGAACTTGGTACTGATGGTTTTGTTAGGAAAAGATCTTGTATAATTCTAGATGACTGACTCAGATTTGGAAAAAGTTGCTGAGATGTTAGCTATTCCACCAGCTGTCCACCAGACTGGAAATCAATTGTGAGTTCTAGGACTGAATTTAGTGATTTGGGTTAATTTGTAGAACTACTTGCCACCGGTTTGAATCTTATATCACCAATTCAAAGTTGAAGATCCACGAGGATTTAGGTAATAAATTAGGTGAGAAAATTGGTGATTCAGGATTTGAACCATGGTGATAAGTTGTTCAGTGATATCAACGATTCATTAAATTCAGTCCTACATTAAATGCACATTTTTGCATGGATGTAGCTCTTGCTACTATAGTGTACATGGAAATGTTATTGATATTCAATGTTTTTTACTGTACAAAACATTTTGACATGAATTAAAACTAATGATAGACATGAGCAAGATAAAGGTAATAAGGCAAGGAAAGTTAATTGCTGTTGCGTATTACATATTGAAACCAGTTTTCTCTGGGTGGTGTTTATAATCGAGAATAGATGCATCGATGTTCCTTTAGTATCCGCGGAGGATAAAAGCATTTAATTTGAAAATTTCATTGATTTGTTATGTGATAGATGGTTCCCATGTAGGCTTTGACATCCGTATTGTGTTTACTTTACCACGCAGATTAGGGTTTCCAACGTAATATATTTTTCATTTACATGAAATTACGTTCAGTTACTTGCAAAATTACGGCATAATTGCGTGTAATTTCTACAAGGCAATTTCGCGAAATTTTGTAATGATAACCTGTACTTAGCAAAATTTAAATTTCCTGAAATTTTGTCATAATTTTGCGTAATTTCTACAATTTAATTTTGTGAAATTTTGTTATAATTACGCATAATTAGCGAAACTTCAATTTCGCGTAACTGCTACAAAGTAATTTTGTGAAATTTTGCTATGATTATGCCTAAGTAGCAAAACTTCAATTTGAAAGTATTTAAATTATCTCATCAGATTTGGCATGGTTATAAATGCATATCCTTACACATATTTTCTCGCCATATTCATTTCTGAGAATTAATATGTACTTTACTAATAACTGAATGGTTTCTTATGTAATAACGCCTTAATTACAATAAACTAGACTTTCCTTCTTGTACTTAATTATCACATAATTTTGCGTAGTGCTCCTATGCAAGTGAAAGAAAAGTTACACGTAATTATGCATAATAACACGAAATGTGATAACAACTGGAAACCCTAGCCCAGAGACAGTATACTGCGGTACTAAAAATGCATACACCTCTGAAATAATTATCTTTTTATTATAAATCTTTGAGCTAGATTATCTTTGTTATTTCCTTATCTTCTTTTGTTAGGGAAGTCGTGCAAAGAACCAGAAGAGGAACTGGTTCTAAGGAGTTAAGAAGGAAGAGGAGTGTGAAGAAGACTGTTGAGGAGAAACTAGAAGAGCTGCAGAAGATGGTTGACCGATTAGAGACAACTAAATCTTTATTACTCAACGAGATGCAGGATATCAGATCTGAAGCTCTAGGAATCGTAGATGAAACCTCTCATAAGAGGTGAGATTAAGACCTAATACAGATTTTTGTAGTTTTAGACCTAGACTCTGCTTTACATTGCGCATTTTACTAGGTATTGTATTCCATGGCTTAAAGTTGAACAGTGGGAAATTATTAGCACTAGATCCTTTTTGGCCAGGTGTTCAGATTCAAACGGTCCAATTCTCATCAGCTGGATTGTTCATTTTACGCTGAATCTTATTTGAACTTAACAAATTTCTTATACATTGGGGAATGATTCAAGTTGTTACTGATGGTTAATGTTAACCATAGTTGATCGGTTTTGACGTTTTATCATTACCAAGGTCTTATCTTAAAAATTGTTTATGATGGTTAGTGAAGGTCAAGGGTGATATATAAGGTGGACCTGCAGACAGGAAGTTAGGATGTTGTGATGTTGGTTGGGGGGTTGGAGGAGGGCTATAAATAGTGATTGTCAAAAGGATCATTTTGTGTTGCTGATCGACGCCCAGCCCTAATAATTACTGTTCTGAGCTGAAAACTTTATAATTGGAAACCATTAATCATGATCGCTTAATCTGAATATCCGCTGTGGAAACTTCTAATTTTCTTTAAATTCAGTCTTGTTTGATATCACATTTTCTATTACATGTAATTAAGATAAGTTTGATTACAAATAGAGATATGATGCAATATCACAAGCCGACTTCTAGAGCATTCATACAAATATAAAAATCATGTTAATATAAACTTATTAAATTATCATATTTTTTTGAACGTAGTCTTAATAAACATTAATCCAAAACTTGCGTTCTTTAAATCGATCATTAGTCCAATTGATATGACACCACAAATGCGGGAAAATTCAAAACCGGTTTTTCAAAAGTTAAAGAGCGCATCTCTTATCTCTAGAAATTAATCTAAAGACTAAATAAGTCTGGAGATTAGCAAAAAGAGAGGATCAAGCATTGATCTCTATTCACCATTCTTAAATTTTCCACTCTGGCCTCATTTACTGATATTTAGACTTTAATGAGACTTTAACCTGATTAAAATTTTATACCTTACAATTTTTGATTTTATTACAAAATTATAAGAAGACTTAAGATATTTTTGAACTCGTTTTGGTTCACATCTTTGGTAAGATGAAATGTTGTGTAAAGTAAAAAAAGCATAAATTCTGCAATTTTTTTGTTTCTTTTTGTAATCCTGTTGTCTAGGCTCACCTGCCATTTACCTGCGCTTGGTTTAAAACATGATCTTAAATGAAGTGTCCGTTTGGCAATTGATTGCGAACATATATAAATATACATATAAACGAGCAAAGAGTTTTTCTTTGTTTTTCAGTCGTCGGTCAACGAAAGAGACTGCTGAACGGAAACCTGAAGGTATCGTCTCAAGAATTCAGCAAAGTCAGGTATTATGTCGGTATTTTATTTTCATAATTTCAAGTCACCCTCCATGCAAAGATGGCAGTGCTCGATATATAACGTATACCCTTGAAATTTTAATCGGGTCAAATATGTGAAAGATCGTGTCGTTTTTCTGACTCAAAGTGTTTAATTCCGATTATATCTCCATTTTATCTTATAAGCACGAAATGCTCAAGTCACTTTTGCAGAGAACTCTCGTATGAAAATTAACAGTTTAAAGAAACTAACCTATGGATATTCAACTCATACTTTTTTAGGGCACTAAATCAGGCATTGCCATCTTCGCTGAAATTACGCCTACAGTCCCTTTAATAGACTGTAGCAAACCTATTCTGAAATTAGACTACAGTCCCTTTAATAGACTGTAAAAAACTTATTCTGAAATTACGCCTACAGTCTCTTTATTAGACTGTAACAAACCTATTCTGAAATTACTCCTACAGTACCTTTAATAGACTGTAACAAACCTATTCTAAATTACGGCTACAGTCCTGTTAATAGACTGTAACAAACCTATTCTAAATTACGGCTACAGTCCTTTTGATAGACTGTAACACACCTTGTCTGAAATTACTCCCAAAGTCCCTTTAATAGACTGTAACAAACCTATTATGAATTACTCCTACAGTCCCTTTATTAGACTGTAACAAACCTATTCTGAAATTAAACTACAGTCCCTTTAATAGACTGTAACAAACCTAGTCTGAAATTACTCCTACAGTCCCTTTAATAGACTGTAACAAACCTATTCTAAATTACGGCTACAGTCCCTTTAATAGACTGTAACAAACCTATTCTAAACTACGGCTACAGTCCCTTTAATAGACTGTAACAAACCTATTCTGAAAGCTCATTAAAAATTTAAATGCTAATTAACAATAGGTTCTTCTACAATAGAATCAGAATTATCTCCGAGGATTTTATTTAATAGACTGTAACAAACCTATTCTGAAAGCTCATTAAAAATTTAAATGCTAATTAACTAAGAATTATCTTGTGAGGATTTTATTTATTTAACTAAATTATTTTCTTTAAAATTCAACCTACCACCTTAACTAAGAGTATTCCCGTGGTTTTGCAGAGTTTTCAAATCAAAATTTAAGGATATTTGGTCAAGGTATTTCCGATGATACTAGAAGACATATTTATAAACAGCATATTACTAAAAATCGAGTTACTAACTAGATATGTTCAGTTCAAACCCAGCTTGGGAACCCAGTGTTGCCCAGGGCACTCGTAGCTAATCCCGCGCTTGGTCGTAAATTAAGATTTAGCCACTTTTCCTTAAAAAGTCTACTCTTACTCTACCCTCCTAAGTTTCCTAATCATAAGTTAAGGCAAATCGGCCAAGGGGTTCATCAGCTTTAATCGGACAGACATAACAAACAAACGTACGAACAGACTACACATTGATGTCTAAAGAATATTGCGAATTAGGATATGCTGGACTTGTATAAGAAAGCACATGAACCTCAGTTGTCAACTGAACAAATAAAAGGTATTTAAAATCGTTTTTACCCCCATACCATTTAAAGTTCTACTCCCCATTACCAATTGATTTTTGATTTTGATATTCCATTTAGCTCGCGAAGTTTGATTTTAATAATACATTTGGCTTGAAAAGTTTTTAATTATTTTTAAAGAAATTTTAAAGTTATGAACTGTCTAAACTGAGAAATTAAAACTCTTTTTTATACATTTGTTTTTATACATTTGTTTTTTATTCATTTGTTTTTTTACATTTGTTTTTTTATACATTTGTTTTTTTATACATTTGTTTTTTTATACATTGGTTTTTTTACATTTGTTTTTTATACATTTGTTTTTTATACATTTGTTTTTTATACATTTGTTTTTTATACATTTGTTTTTTTTATACATTTGTTTTTTTATACATTTGTTTTGTATACCTTTGTTTTTTTATTCATTTGTTTTTTATGTATTTGTTTTTATACATTTGTTTTTTTTAGACATTTGTGTTAACACCTTTGTTTTTTATTTGTAGTTATTTTCTTTAAAAAAGAGGTTGTGGGTGCTATTGGTAAAACTAGTAGTTTAAGCGTCAAAGAATGTGAAAGTTTAAACAAGTGCTTTATTTCTAAATAATTTTTCTTTGCTCACCTTTGCCATTGGTTTACTGCAAAAATAAAAATAAACAATTTGTATAACAGTATTTCACCTATGCAGCTCAGGAGATGTAGTTAAATCATTAATCCTAGTTCAAATATATTAAACGTATTGATTTATTACTAATTACTAATTTATCAAGAGTTGGCTGCAGCAATGAAAAGTATGATTGATATGATGGAGAATAAGGTTAAACACGAAATCATCTCCAGAAAACGCAGGTCAAATTTAATTTATTTTTTCATTCGAAGGACGTGACTGCCTAGGAATGTTAATTAAAATGTAAGAGCAGTATTAAAAAACAAAATTGTATAACTCATGTGCAGGTAAGACTTTCACGTTCTATTTTTTCTACTTAGACTACTAATTCTAAATTCACTGGATAATTTTCAGTTTGCTCACGAGATTCGATGCTTAAATTATTTGATAACGGTACAATATTTTTGCAATATTCTATTCTTATACTAAACTCTTAGTTACTACCATACCTAGCCGGTCACTCTCTTTGAAATATTTTCTCTTATCCTATCTTTTCTTAATCGGTAAAAATGCTTTCAACTGTTAAACTTGCTCAGTTCCCAAATCTAGGAGGTTTAAAACATTTAACAATATTATTCTCGTCCCATTTCCCTTTTTACGTTTGGCCAAATCTTTATTTCTGGTTTAACCTGGAAATAACCAAGATATTTTGATGCTTTGTAAGTTTGTTATTGTAGGGTTCGTTCTTCCCGTTTTTATTTCAGGGTCATAATTTGGCAAAGTGTAAGATGAACAAATGTTTTAAATTTGTTTATTTCTTCACAAAGACGAATTTTGACCCGACAGAAAATATTGGCAAATAATTTATTGCCAAACCATTTTACAATTTTTAGGACTTCGGTCATTTTGTAGAGAGGATAAAAGCAAGATGTAGATCGTAGAACTTGTACTTAATTAAGAAGCTATGTTGATTTTTTTTAACTTAAGTTGTTGAGAAACTGATATACCCCGACTTAACAATTTTAAGTCTTTTTGTGTAACTGATGCATATGGTAGGAGACGTGATACTGGAGAAGATGCTGTTAAACCTGCCGCAGGGTCACAGTTCTCCTTCCTAGAGTTTGGATCCGATGATCAGGGGTTTTATAAAACTTTTAAACCTAAAACCAAAAGGTATAATATTTGTTTATATGACTGAATCCAGCATAAATGCCAATACAATATTCTAATTTGTTTTTTGATTTTTTTGGAAAAAAATGTTTTTGCACAGAAAAAGTGATCAATTAATTTAGAGGTAATTTCAGATTTCTTTATATTCTAATTTGTTTTTTGATTTTTTTGGAAAAAAATGTTTTTGCACAGAAAAAGTGATCAATTAATTTAGAGGTAATTTCAGATTTCTTTCTACGATGTGACTTGTAAATTCGTACTGAGACTGTTATATTCGTTAACATTTTATCAAGGAATGGACTTATGTTTTGTTTCCTATATCTTTGTAACCTCATTGTGTGAATCGTAGTTATTTCAAACTTTACTATTGCACTAACAAATTAATTCATAGCTTCAAATTTTAAGATATGCAACATCAAGTTGCAAATAGATAGGGATTAGAAAATTGAAATTTCCGGCAAGTATTCAGTTTCCCCATTGTTCAGAAGTCTGAAAGAGATGTTCTTGGGAGGGGAACAGGATACTGTAGAAAGAGTAGTTCCAACCTACACTGTTCCTGACTTCGTTCCTGATCCACAATTCTCCAGGTAGTTTTCCAACAGCTTTACTGTTCCTGATATACATTTCGCCAGGTAGTTTTCCAACAGCTTTACTGTTCCTGATATACATTTCTCCAGGTAGTGTTCCAACCTATTGCGTTTCTGATCTACAATTTTCCAGGTAGTGTTTCATACTATTGAGTTCTTGATCCACAATTCTTCAGGTAGTGTTCCAAGTTTCTGATCCACCATTATCCAACCTTGGTCTAACCTATAATGCTCCTGAAATACAACTCTCTAGGTAGTGTTCCATCCTTTAAGGTTCCTGATATACAATTCTCCTCGCAAGTGTGTTTCAACTTTTAGCGTTTTAGGTTTTAGGTTTTGTTCCAACCTATAGAGTTCCTAATTTCTTAATAGAAATGCTCCAACCTATAAGGTACTGATTTCTTAATAAAGAATGGATTTCTAGAAAACTGTTTTTATTTTAGTGGAATATTTACGTCCCGGGAGTTGGTGACACCTCCCAATCTGAAACCTGTAGTTCAACCCACCAGGAGAAGAAGATCTGAATCCAATCCTGGAGTAAAAAAACCATCTTCCAATCCTAGTTCTACTGCTAGATTCAACAATAACAGGGCTTTCCAGAAGACCTTCAAACATGAACCATCCAAAAAAGGTATTTACTATTATTACATGGTCTAGACTCCAGGTGGCTTTTACAAGGATTTAACCTTCAATTGTTAACCCGTGTTATACTTACCCCCGTAAGAAAATTTTCACTTTTAATTAACTTCTTCATAATATTGATGTAGAAGATAAATTTAGATAACTAACATGTTATGCTATACATCCACATGATCTGTTTTTACGAAGATATTGGTGTGAATGAAGTGGATCAGAAGGCTGGGGGTGTTATTACTCGGATGAGAAGACATCTAGAGTATCTTTTCTCTTCTGAAGAACCTGAAGAAGACCTTCTGTATTTTGGAGTCAAGTAATACATTGATTTTTATTGATTAAAGGGACTGTAAGCGTGATTTCAAGCTAGTGACACTTCATGCAAAAATGGCAATGCCAGATTTATAACAGTACTCTTGAAAACTTAGTCTGATCAAGTATGAATTTTTGTTAACTGCTTATTTTCATTTGTATTTCTTGACTTAAGAGAAACAATGGAGAAATTCACAGAAATAAAACACATTTTTGAACAGAAATTGATCTTGCATTAATATTTTGGCATATCTACTTCACATTTACTTGTAATTAATAAGATATAATTATTTCTTTTTTTGAATTTGATCAATTTCAATTTTGGTTTCTCTTTGTAAGTGACTTCAGAATTTATGCTGCAATGATGCAATGAAGATTCATAATTCAAACAGTTTTTATTAAAAATACGAAATCTGATTCTCAGATGGAGGTTTAAAGTGTATCCATGTGAATCTGTACATACCACTGTATTAATGTAGGGTCAGTTTAGTCGTGAAGAGTCAGGAATTATGAAGACAGTTTAAAGTCCAAATCAACGCTTAAATTTAGTCCTGAAAAGTCAGGAATTATGATGACAGTTTTAAGTCCTAATCAACGCTTGAATTTAGTCCTGAAGATTCAAGAATTATGAAGACAGTTTTAAGTCCTAATTACACCTAAAACTAGTCCTGAAGATTCAGGAATTAAGACAGTTTTAAGTCCTAATTACATCTAAAATTAGTCTTGAAGATTCTGGAATTGAGACAGTTTTTAAGTCCTAATCAATGCCTAAATTTATTCCTTAAGATTCAGGAATTAAGTCGGTTTAAAGTCCTTATTAACACCTAATTTAGCCCTGAAGAGTCTGGAGTTTTGAAGTATAAGTATGAAGTCAGCTCTCCTCTACTCTCTGAGGACCGAGATCTAGAAGATTCTCAATCAGGTACTCATTACTAATTTAATAATTTAAGAATTTTGATACTTTAACCCAAAATATTATTGATTTTCCTATAAGAATTGTTCTTTTCCTCAATTAAGCCTAAAAACTACAAAATAAAATGTTTGGCTCTTTTAGTTTAGTATTCCTAACTTTGTAGTTTGGTTTTCCTAAATGTTGACTACAATGAAGACTTGATTTTCCTAAATGTTGACTACAATGAAGACTTGATTTTCCTAAATGTAGTTTACAATGAAGACTTGGTTTTCCTAAATGTAGACTACAATGAAGACTTGGTTTTCCTAAATGTATACTACAATGAAGACTTGGTTTTCCTAAATGTAGACTAGAATGAAGACTTGGTTTTCCTAAATGTAGACTAGAATGAAGACTTGGGTTTCCTAAATGTAGACTAGAATGAAGACTTGGTTTTCCTAAATGTAGACTAGAATGAAGACTTGGTTTTCCTAAATGTATACTACAATGAAGACTTGGGTTTCCTAAATGTAGACTAGAATGAAGACTTGGTTTTCCTAAATGTAGACTAGAATGAAGACTTGGTTTTCCTAAATGTATACTACATACAATGAAGACTTGGTTTTCCTAAATGTAGACTACAATGAATACTTGGTTTTCCTAAATGTATACTACAATGATGAAGACTTGGTTTTCCTAAATGTAGACTACAATGAAGACCTGGTTTTCCTAAATGTATACTACAATGAAGACCTGGTTTTCCTAAATTTAGACTACAATGAAGATTACTTACGATTTCAATTTTGATTTATATCAAGCTTTTGAACAGCATGATTACATTACACATTAACATAGAAGTGGAGATAAGTTGTCAATTCAAAAAGCTTTATTTTTGATAACTTGTAAATCTGTAATTCGAAAAAAAGCTAACAATAAAACTTAAGTAAAGTCGTTTTAATTGTTTTTATATGATCGCCTACCAGTGTTCTATAAATATCGTCGTATGTACTGTATGCACTAATAAAATATCTGATTAGATCATGTTTATACTCGGGATCAAAATCCGCAAGATGAACTCTCTAAAACTCTGTCTAATGCTAATATGGTTAAGCAATACAGATGATTTTAAAATGTTTTATGTATTTATGAATAAACTATTCTGTGTAAACATTTTTTATTTTCTTCACTTTTTTTGATTTTTTCATTAATTATTTTATTTTTTATTTAAATAATCTATCGTAAGAGAAGAGTGATGCGTCTCGAAATGCTGAATACTCTTATGTTCGTTTTTGATATTTTAAAACTATTTTTTTTTGATTCTCGAAGCGAAAGAAATTTTGTTTAAATTGACAATTTGATGGATTTTTTGTAGTTTTACATTTTAAAACGGATAGTTAATACTCATATTTGTTTTGACGACATTTTTTCTACCTTAATGATTTCAAATTAAGATGTTTTGAACATTTTTCTGTCGAGCAGAAGACAGAATTTTAAGGTTGTGCTGGTTCTTGCTAAGAATGTTATTTAATTTTTAATTTATTTTATTGCTAAGGGTAGAAGCCTGACTCACGTAACTAGCAGTTATTGCGTTTTAAATGATAAATTTAGTGCATTGAAATTAAGATTTTCAAAAATCCAGCCATGTCTTGAAAAAGATGTCTAAATTTTAAATTGAAATAATACTTCTTTTTAATGTAAAATGCTAAACTTATTTTTAATTTTTCCTTTAAGCTTATTTTTGAAAACGTGATCAATTAAAGATACTCTCTATAGTTAAAAAGACGTCAATAGCCAAAAATTTGCATTATCCAACGAAAGTTGTAAATAGAATTTTGGCAAACAATTTTTTAATGAACTTTAAAATTTCTTAAAAATTAATATTTTGCAATGTGGCAGGATTTAAAATTTTTTTTTCAATGCCCTAAATTTATATTTTATAAACACAACTGCCGGAAGACTCGAATGCTGTGGCACGGAGGGCCGTACGGTTTTGTCTCATGGCTACCGGAAGACAAAAAAAATATGCGGCATTGAAGGGGAAAATGTTGTGGCTTATTGCCACCTTTCTTCCCCGCTCGTATCCATGGATTCTCAAAAAATGTAAGCCAATTTGGTCCAGCCATTAGGCCAGCTAAAGCGAGGGAGGGAACTCCCGGACACCATGAGCCACAGCTATGCATACACTGCAAGTCTCCCAGATTTTCTAGGCAGACCAAGTATCACCATTCAGACGATGCCAAGATTTAAACTTAAATGTTTAAAATTTTTTAGAATTAATGTGAACTACAAAAAATGGTATCGTTTAAATCTAAGATTATAAAAGATGAAATGAAAAATTCAAATTTTTTCCTTTTGGTGGAAAAAATGTTTAATTTTATGCCACTTTATTAGTCATGATCAGGCACTAATAATTGATAAATACTTCTCTTCTTTCAGAAACCTCTTATGCCACCATGTCGAAAAATTTGTATAACAAATTTTTTATTCAAACTCAAAAAACCCTACTGTATTACACAGGCACATTTTGATGCATTGAGCATGCTCATTACTGCATTGCTGAGGCTTGGTCCGCCGAGGAAGGGAACCCCCGGGCGCCATGAGCCTCCCAGATTTGCCAGGCAGACCGAGCCTCCATTATGCAGACCAAGCCACCACTATGCAGTGAACGAGCCTTCACAATACAGAACAGCTTTTTTGAATCTTGGTTTTATGTGTAATGAAAAATGTTAACATTTTTTTGACGTAGTAGCATAAGAATTTTAATAAAGATTAGAATTATTTCTTGATTGTCATGATTAAAAACATACATGGACTCATAAAGTGGTTTATAAGATTTATACTAAAACTTTTAACATTTTTTGCACAGAAAGGAAGATATCTGGAGAAATATTTCTGAAGTAAATTTAGTTTGTTTTGTTGTAATCTTTGATTTAAACAATACTTTTTTTTGAAAAATGTTAAGATTTAAATAAATGATACAAATTTTCAAGATTTAATTTGAACTAAAAAAAGGTATCGCTTAAATCAAAAATTACAAAAGATGAAATGAAGTTCAATTTAAAATTTTCTCTAAATATTTTCTTTTGATGTAAAGAATGTCTAAAGTTTTACATAAACCATTTTACTATCCGTAATTCGGAACTATTTATGATAATTGATAAATACTTTACATCTTATGCCACAATGCCAAAAAAAAGTTAACATTTTTCATTACCCATAAAAACCAAGATTTGAAAAAAGCTGTTCTGTATGGTCAAGGCTCGTTCACTGCATAGCGGAGGTTTGGTCTAGATAGTGGAGGCTCGGTCTGCATAGCAGAGGCTCATGGCTCATGGCGTCTGGGGATTCCCTCCCTCAGTGGACTCGACTGCATGGGACAGACTTCTCCGAAAGTTTTAACCATTTTAACACAATGTTAGACTTAAGAAACAATGTTAAAACTTTAAAATTATTAGTTGACATATATTAAATAGGCATTTATTTCTTAAATGTATTTTAAAGAGGGTAAAAGCAAAAAAAGTTGTTTCCTCTTGAATGTCGTCTTTCTTTCAATCATCAAACAATTAATATTTACTCGAGACATAACTAATTTTTAATCTCGATCAAAACTAATTTTTAATTTCGATCAAAATACATTAATAAATATCGGAAAATGTAACTATACATTGCTTTTTTATGTCTATCATTTTGTTGAAATGGTTAAAACTTTAGGGGGAGTCTGCCCCATGCAAGAGTCCGCTCCATGAATGTCACCGTAGGTAATAATTGAATAAAAAAGTTTTTACTCAATAATTTCTTCTCTTATAGCATTCGTAAATTAAATTTTGCCTCCATTTTAATAAATGCAGCACTGCAGCCTACTCTTTAAGGTTTATTTAATTCTTCATTGAGTTTTTTAATCTTAATTTTCTGCTCGATAACTAATTAACCATTAATTACGTAAATTCCAGATATGTCACTTCAAATTTCTAAAATAGTTCTTAGTTGAAAAAGTTAATTATAGGCATGTTTTAATTTGTTAATATATAATCTTGTGCAACGTGATTTAATTTTTAATTGATTCTAAATTCATGGGATTGGGCATTGTTCACTCAAATGAAAATGTTGACAATCATTATTTTTGAAAATGCGCCAATTTAAATAGAAGAATCCGTCAACATTTAAGAGAGGTTTGAATATTAAAAGCGGTGAAAGCAATCTATTGGGAAACATTTTTATTTCAATTTGCCCAATACAGTGATAATCAGAAAAATGTTAAATATAAAGACGACATTTCATCAATACTAAAGCATGCGTTTGATTTTGTTGCAAAGCAAATGGCTTTACCAGTATGTAATCAAATTACTTATTAAGTTAAATGGGTCTGTTTACACTGCACAATTTCTTTGCCTAATGGTCAATGGACTATTTAAAATCAAAACCTCAGTCTAAAAGTCGACTTCCTTTACCAGAGTTTTCTGGTTCTCACTGCAGCAATAATTATTCTACAACATTTTCCCCAAGCAATAAAATTCTTTAATAAAAGGAACAGTTACGGTTGAAGAAAAAAAATGTTAGACCACATTTAGAAAATCTCGATATTAGATGTTTAAATAATTGTGTTCATGAAAAATGGAACGAAGACGATATAAAAGCGTCATTTAATTTGGTCTAAATATAAAAATCTTCGTGTTTTTTCGGTCACCCTGTACAAGAAAGTATCTTTGTTGAATTTTTATTTTCAATTTTTGCATATATTTTCAGATCTCTGATATGATGAATTCAGTAGAATCAGAGGTATGATAGGTCTCTACCTGTGTGCTCAGTTAGCTGTACTGTACACTTACAACTGTTTACTAATATTGATATACTATGGGTTAGGCCAGAATTAACTTACAATAAACAAATATGCGTGAATAGTTTATGGCCTATAAAATCACTCTATACACTATAATCTCGTTGAGTAGAATAGCTTATTATTCTTATTATTGATATTAATCTTTATATTTTACTACATCAAGATATTGTTGTTGGGAAAGGAATTGAGTCTTTGTCATATAACATTCATTTCCAAATTCCTATATCTTTGAAACCCAATTTCTTAGACCTTTTACATTTCAACTATGAATTCTGCAAAATTAAATAGCAGGGGAAGTTTGAAATATTAAATTTTTACACCAATAATTTGCAAAGATATATGAATTATTAATCCCCCCCCCCCCTATGCGTATCCTGGTTTTCAAGTACCCCAGCAGGATAGGTTTGAAATCGACGAACATTTTTTGTTAAATACTAAACAGAACGTTATAACTTATAACAATATATACCAAAGTATTTCTTACTCCTAACAATCTATTTGGAGTTTCAAACATAGGTTTTATCAAGTCTAAAGTTAGAATTTTGTCTAACTATGAGTTTCATTGAAATCATTTTAATTGTAATTGTAGTTACATTCTGTGAGAATATTCCTGCATGTAAAGTTTATGATATTAATGGGCCGAGCGTTGAAATGAAAATAATGAAAATGGGAAAAGGGCCGCGAAAAAAAGGTTGTATTAAATTCAACTTGTACTTAAAAATTGTGTTATTCTTTACACATCTCCAGAATATTTAACGTAATAAATTGAGAAAAGTCTTTAATATCTATTACAGTATATGAAAAAGACATTCAAAACTATTCACCAGCTGTCAATATATCGTGGGACACCCTGTAATAAAAAAATTACGGAGAAAATCAAAAACACATCTTATCTTATTCTTCATTTTTATTCTTTTACTTCGGATATGATGGTTTGATTTGATTTGATTTGAATTTTGAAAAACTTATCAACATATATTACGTATTTACGTAAAGGGATTGTAAGCGTAATTATTTCAAGTGACCCTTCATGCAAAGATAGCAATGCCCGATTTACAACGGTACCCTTGAAAGCTTCGTCTGATCGTGTATGAATAAGATATCATTAGTTTGGTTTCTTAAAACTGTTTTATTTCATTTGCGGTTTCTCTGTGAAAGTGATTTGCGCATTACTTACTAATAAGAAAAAATGAAGGAATTTACAGAAATAAACTTATAAATCTCTGCTCTGCTATTAGTTCTTATTAAATCTTCAGTATGTTCGGACGTGTAATTTTTCTCGCTGTTATCCTTCAGGTATAATTTTCAAATATTTAGAAAATCTTGTTGAAGATATTTCAACTTAATTTTTAGAGATTGGATTCTTTCGACTATTTTTTTCTGACGAAATAATTTTAGTATTTTTTTGCATTCTTCTTAAACTTAGCAAAACAATTATTTCTTCAGAATTCGTATTGCTGATATGTTTTTCAAAATTTCATTTTACAATCTTTAAAGCATCTAATCGATTCATTCGCCGTATTTTAAAAAGGTATTTATATCGATAAAATAGTTTTATGACTTTTTTTAAGGTGACCACAGGCAGTCCAACAGTTTCCTTAGTCTTAGACACAGCGGTAATATTTTTTATATTAATTTGGAAATTTGGAAATAATCCATTTTTCTTTTATAGTGTATTTAAATTCTCCTAATCAAAGATAAAATAAATAAGCCGAAAAAATGCGAAAAAGTAAAAGAAATCTGAAAACTTTAAGAATTTTCTAAAGAGGATTTTATTCTTGATTAGACAAAGATTTGAATTATCTATATCAGAAATTTCACTCTATTAATTTCGATTACAGTCCCTTTAATCAATGTTGAAGCTCTGACCAAGTATAAAATTTTAATGTTAAATTTTATTAAAGGCTAATGTAACTGCAGTACTAGGAGAAGGTGTAGCTCTTGGATTTGATGGTGCAGGAAATCTTACAAAACATTTTGTTAACAAGTGAGTTTTATTTTTAAATTGTATTTTTGAAAAACAATTTGACACAGAATTACCAACAAAACAATGACTTTTACTTTAACATTTTTTACGTCTAATTCTATAAGCTTTTATATTTAAACACTCAGATTGTCTAATTGAGACTAAATTATCTCTTCAAAAAGATTATAGAAATAACAATATTCATAGCTACAGGGTTACCCACTAAGGCTGAGACTGTAAAGACGACCTGAAACCCTTTAAATTTGACGATTCCGAGGTTTAATTTATCTTTTTAGCAGCTTATTCAATGATTGAAAAAAAAGAAACAAGTCTACAGTTACAGGGAATAATAAATATGATGTAACTCTCTACATTTTATAATGAAAAGACGACGTTAATTCCGCTTTTTCTGTTTCTCATTGTATTTCAGTTGAATCCATAAAACATTTTGGTAACTGTTTCCTATCTTAGAACTGAGAAACTTCAGCTGTACGTGAAAAACAAGACCGCCAGCACCACGGACAACATCTTAGAGCTACTCGACTTGAAGATGGAGTTTATCATGTGCAAGTAAGTCCCCTCAAATATTAGGTGTTTCCTCCGTTAAAGGGACTGTAAACGTAATTTGAAGTGACAATGCCCGATTTACAATTATACTCTAAAAACTTGTCTGTCAAATAAGAATTACTTCTCACTGTTTAAAATTTAGAAAACTGATAAATTTCCTTACAAAAGTAACTTGCGCATTTCTACTACAGGAGACCATATAGAATTTATTAGAATTAGACACTTTTAAACATATAAAAAAATATCATCCATATTAATGATGATGGTCTTAAAGTTGAAAAACAATTCTAAAAACGTATTTACCCAAAAAGTACGATTTTAAACGTCAACTTTGCGCTAAAACACAGGATTTAAAGATCTTAAAAAAAATTTTATGTCTCAAATGAATCCTGAAGAATTTGTCCACAACTGCATTGCGTACTCAGTTTAACTACCTTACATTGTCGGTCTGTCCCTTTAAGGGTGCCTTTGTAAATCTTGCATTGCCATCTTGTTGCTTGCAAATCAGTAACTTTAAATTTTATTTTTTTATAGTGACTTGATTTAAGGTAAACGTTAACGGGTAACTTAGTGAATCTGGCATTCTATCAATTTTGTCAATTCTATAAATTATCAATTCTATCAATTCTATCAATTCTATCTGTTCTATAAATTATCAATTCTATCAATTCTATCAATTTTATCAATTCTATAAATTATCAATTTTATCAATTCTATAAATTATCAATTCTATCATATCTATCAATTCTATCTATTCTATAAATTATCAATTATATCAATTCTATCAATTCTAACAATTTTATCAATTCTATAAATTATCAATTTTATCAATTCTATAAATTATCAATTCTATCACATCTATCAATTTTATCAATTCTATAAATTATCAATTCTATCATATCTATCAATTCTATAAATTATCAATTCTATCACATCTATCAATTTTATCAATTCTATAAATTATCAATTCTATCATATCTATCAATTTTATCAATTCTGTAAATTATCAATTCTATCATATCTATCAACTCTATTAATTATATCAATTCTATTAATTCTATTAATTATATCAATTCTATCAATTCTATCAATTCTATCGAAGAAATGATGATTAACATAAATTTTGTTTTCAGTATGTTCCAAGTGTGTACTAAGAATACCTCTGACGAGACTGATGCCCCTGGAGGTCGGTCTGGTCTGAACCAAGTTAACCGCCTCACTGAACTCAACAACCTCATCCTTGCCGAGGCAACTGACGAGGTTGTAGAGGATGAACGTCTGTTCTTCCCCGTAGAGGTACACATTTCAGTTTCATTCTTAAAGAAATTGAGTTTTTGCCACAAACTCTGACTTTGTAATCCCTATGTCAGTGACCTTTGATATTTCAAATTCACGAATTCTGTTAGATCAAATAGTTTAAGTTTGAAATATCAAAGGTTTACCATTAGGTTAAAAACATAAAGACATTAGAACATTTGGGTTTGTGACAAAAACTCAGTTTCTTTGTTTCGCAATAATTAAATTTCTACTTTTTATTATTTAATTAGTTTTTAACTTGTTTGTATTCTTAATCCCCATAATCTTTCTCTTAATTTTAAATTACTTTTTTATGTCTAATTCTTTCTCTATAATTTTCCTTTATTTTAGAATCAAAAAGATTACATCAAAAACAAAATCAAGAAGCTGCTGTGCAAATATACAGATGATAAATGGTGTGAAAAAGCTCCTGAAGAAGCTCCCGAAGAAGCTACTGAAGAAGCTCCTGAAGCAAGATTATTTTTCAATACAAAACCCGCCGAAAATGCCACCGAAGCTGCTGTGGATGATACCAGTGAAGCATCTACTGACGAGACGACTAAACCAACTGCAACTCTCACCAAATCCCTGTTCATTCAGAAACTGTTCTCCCATCTCTCGATCAAGATGGGATTTGTTCTCTGCAACTTGCGAGTATGGTGTCCCGATGAGGAGTTGGCGTTTTAGAGCAATCCTTGAGACACCATCATGGTCTTGGGACCTAAACCGTTCTTTAATTCATTCCTCTGTACTTAAAGAAATTTACACTGAATTCGAATAAACGATAAAAATTGTTAAATTTACTTTGCAGTATGCCATAGAATGATTATGAAGGGGGGGGAAATTAATTATTAAAACAATGTTAAAATTTATATTTGTTGAGGAAACTTTAGAAAGATCTTTTTTTTAATTTTAAGCATTATTTAGTTTTTTAAAATGAAATTAAAAAGCTATTTCTAAAAAGGGGTTGAATGTATTTTATAATGTAAACAGAAAGAGAGCTTAAAAAGGAGAGAGTTCTTTTAACAAACTGATTTTCTAAGCCCTATATATCTTTGCACCCCTATTTCGGATACCTTTGATATTGTTAAACTCTGAATTCGGTTAAATCAAATAGTTTGAAATATAAAGGGTTTACACAATCAGTTTGCAAATATATGGGGGTTTGAAGATTCCAGTTTGTTGCAACAACTCAATCCCTTTCTAGTATGGAAACAGACATATGACTGTATTAGTCTCCTTTTTCTTTGTAAACTGATGGCTTTGAAATTTAATATCATAATTCATAACTCAGGTTATAAATAATAGAAGATAATTTAAAAAGTGTTTTTTTTAATGTTACATAAAAGTTCAATATTGAGATTGAAATTTTGTATTTTATTATTAACATTTTTTTTGGCATATTTGATGTTTGAGAATCTTGAGATTACCAACAATAAAAAAATTCGCTGATTTTTAGATTTTTTCATGGATTTTGAAAAATCGATTTTTCCCAGACAAATTCATCAATAAACCTTTCCTGAGGTCCCACAAAAAAAATTTTGTCTTGTCAAATTTTGCCTAGTCACAATTTTGCCTTGGTAACTTTTTGCCTAGTTCAAATTTGCCTAGTAACATTTTGCCTAGGTAACGCAAGAGCATAGTTTTTGCCCATTGTTTTTTTAAACAGATTTTGTCAACAATTAAATATTTTTTTACTGAACCACTTAAATTTAAAATTTACAAAAGATAAAACATGGTTATGTATCAGATATATATATCTTTAGAAAACAGTTTACATAATGGAGCAAAGATTTTGAATATCATCATCTTTTGGCATATGGTACGGTATGGTAGGAAACTTAATGATTTGCAAAAAGTTGCAGAGATTTTTATGACAAATTCGCGGAGTATTGAAAATTTTCTTTGTCGAAAAAAAAACATTGACTAGGCAAAAAATTCGCTCCTATGTAACCCTAGGCAACATGTTAAATAGGCAAGCCGTTAATGAGTCAATATGTTACTAGGCAAAATGTGACTAGGCAAAACGTGACTAGGCAAAATGTGACTTGGCAAAATGTAGCCGAGCCGTTTCTACGTTTATTGGATACAAACGGACAGACAGACAATTAAGGAAAGTGTATAGATAAATGTTTATATGATTCTGCCTACATAGTGCATACATACTTGAGAAAATGGGATCATGTGATACAAAACCTGTTTTCACCAAAGAACATTTTCAGTGCATTGTGCATAATAATAATAGGAATTTTCCGTGATTAAATCAGCTTAAAGGGACTAATTGTCTATTATCATTTTTAGTCACCATTTGACGTAAGAGTGTAATCAGCGATATAATCTATCTTTAACTTTATTTAGAAGATACAAATATTGCGAGGGTGATGTGGGTGGTTTCTTAATTCCTTATGATCTAATTCGGCGCCCTTAAGATCAAAATTTTCACATTTTTGAGTAAAGGACAAAAACATTTAAATCAAAGGGATTGTTCTAGAATACAGATAAATCAGACATTTATACACTTTATCAAAGGAAGACCATATCACATCACGTGTACAGTCCCTTTACAGCTGTTCCTAAATACTTTCTCTCACAGTAATTATATCGTTCTTGTAAATAAAGAAAATTTATCGTGTGTGTTTTATTTTATAAAAAATATTAAGATTACTCAACAGTCCCACGAAACATGGCAGTTGGTAAATAGTTTAGAATGCCTTCTTCTATAATAGGTTAAGTTGTTTAATATGATGAAAAAAATATTATATAGGAGTCATATTATAGTAAAATTAACTTCAAAGTAAAATATATTTGAGCAAAAGATTTTTTAACGGAATAAACTGCAAACAGCCTTTAATATCTAATACAGTGTATGGAAGACGACAATCAAATGAATTTACAAACTGTCATGTTTTGTGTGACACCCTGTAGCTCAGCACATATTGTTTTATTGTACTCAAGAGTGGCGCTACCACCAAAGTACAAATTCTTCTCAATAGATCGTAAACTTTTTGTCTTAAATAAACATTATTATGTAATCTAAAAACTGGTTTTGTTTTAATTTAAAATCCTTCGCCCCAGGCCTTTTTATATGTAGATACTATGTAAAGGGGTGTCCCAATATTATATGTAGATACTATCTAAAGGGGTGTCCCAATATTATATGTAGATTCTATGTAAAGGGGTGTCCCAATATTGTATATATGTAGATACTATGTACGTAAAGGGGTGTCCCAATATTTTATATAAAACTATGTAAAGGGGTGTCCCAATATTATATGTAGATACTATGTAAAGGGGTGTCCCAATATTATATGTAGATACTATGTAAAGGGGTGTCCCAATATTATATATAGATTCTATGTAAAGAGGTGTCCCAATATTATATGTAGATTTATATGTAGATACTATCTAAAGGGGTGTCCCAACATTATATGTAGATACTATGTAAAGGGGTGTCCCAATATTATATGTAGATACTAGGTAAAGGGGTGTCCCAATATTATATGTAGATACTTTGTAAAGAGGTGTCCCAATATTATATGTAGATACTATCTAAAGGGGTGTCCCAATATTATATGCAGATACTATCTAAAGGGGTGTCCCAACATTATATGTAGATACTATGTAAAGGGGTGTCCCAATATTATAGATAGATTCTATGTAAAGAGGTGTCCCAATATTATATGTAGATACTATGTAAAAGGGTGTCTTAACATTATATGTAGATATTATGTAAAGGGGTGTCCCAACATTATATGTAGATACTATGTAAAGGGGTGTCCCAATATTATAGATAGATTCTATGTAAAGAGGTGTCCCAATATTATATGTAGATACTATGTAAAAGGGTGTCTTAACATTATATGTAGATATTATGTAAAGGGGTGTCCCAATATTATAAATAGATACTATGTAAAAGGGTGTCCCAATATTATATGTAGATTCTATGTAAAGGGGTGTTCCAATATTATATGTAGATACTATGTAAAGGGGTGTCCCAACATCATATGTAGATACTATGTAAAAGGGTGTCTTAACATTATATGTAGATATTATGTAAAGGGGTGTCCCAATATTATATTTAGATACTATTTAAAGGGGTGTCCCAATATTATATGTAGATACTATGTAAAGGGGTGTCCCAATATTATATATAGATACTATGTAAAGGGGTGTCCCAATATTATATGTAGATATTATGTAAAGGGGTGTCCCAATATTATATGTAGATACTATGTAAAGGGGTGTCCCAATATTATATGTAGATACTATGTAAAGGGGTGTCCCAATAAATATGGGAACTGAGCCATTTACCGTTTACATGACATTTACTCATATTTACTCTCGACGTTTACCCGCACTTGGTTTTGAATTATTATTAACTAAGTGCCCGGCGTTGACCGTGGAACTTAAAATAAAATATTTTGCTTTTATCACTCCCGGGGCTTCACAATCCATTTTATAAATTAATTAAAGATATTTAAAGATATTTTCTTTTTTATTTGCAAAAAAATTGTTATGTTTGAATTTTAAAAAATTGAACTGTTTAATTGTTTATGGTAATGTAAAACTGAAAATGTTCACTTTTTATTTCTATTAAAGGGACTGTCTAAAAGTTTTAAGTTAACCTCAAAATTACACACCTTTTCTTACAAGAAACCATTAAGACAGACATCGCCATTTTTCAATCTTGAAATGAGAATAGTTTTGTTAGTTTCTTCCTTATACAAAAACCCACTAGTAAATGTTACAGAGATACCACATTTAAAATGTTATCAATTTTCAAATAAGAAAAACAAAGATATCCCCATCATTTTGGCTCATTAAAAGGATTAACAGGTTCAGGAAAGCGACTCTTTAAATTTGGGTAACCTGAAGTTACTTAACAGTCTCTNGGCGATTTTATCAATATAATAAAGACGACTTTTTAAAAAGCTTTTTTTGAATTACAAGATTACAAGTAATTAAAGAGAAGTTTTTGTTTAATTGACAGCTTATCTTTGATTCCATGTTTTTGAGTATCCATGCTGTTTAAAAGCCTGATAAATCAAAATTGTAATCGAAAGTTGTCTTTGTTCTATTGATATAATCACCTACGACCGTGTTAATACTATGGACTCTGGCTTTTCTATAAAAAATAATAAAAAAATCTCCCCCCCTCCCTCCTGTTCAAATCGTATTTCACCTTATTTTAGCCAGGCTTAACGAACCTGAAGTAATTCATTTTAAAAAGAATAATATATCCCCCTTTTCCCGGCCCGTTTAACTCTAATTCATTTTAATAATACATCCCCTCCCCCTTTTCCCGGCCCGTTTAACTCTAATTTCACCTAACTTTAAATTTTAACTCTTTAAATAAATATTATAATTATGATAATTATTGAATTATGATGATTATTATCATTATGATTATTATTATCATTATTATAATTATTATCATTATTATAATTATTATCATTATGATCATTATTATCATTATGATCATTATTATCATTATGATTATTATTTTCACTATGATTATTATTATCATTATGATTATTATTTTCACTATGATTATTATTATCATTATGATTAATATTATCATTATGATGATAATTATCATGCATTACAATGATTTTTATTATTGTGATGATAATTATCATGCATTATAATGATTATTATCATTATGATGCACGATTATTATCATTATGATATGTATCATTATCATGATGATTATTATCATCATTACCATGATTATAATTATTATTAAAAGTTCTCAAATTATAAATGTAAACTTTTTTACGTCTAACAAAAATACTTCACATGCATACTATTCGATCCTCACTCAAACCTACAATTCTTTGAAAAGAAGGAATTGTTTTTTTTTTGTAATATTATGTCTGAAAATGGCGGGAAAGATTTAAAATATTTGGTTTGGTTTGGTAGTGGGGAGAAGGAGAAGGGTAGCCAGGGGAAGGTTAAGGAAGGCGAACCTACCAATCGGAACAGGTATTTTTGAAATATAAAAGTATTTTTTTTGATATTTATGTACATAATTCAAAAATACGGGTCTCTGAATTTTGTCCTTTAAAAATTATCAAGCTTTTCTAAAATTCTTTATCTCAGAACAGTGAAAAGCCCTTTTCATTCAAAATAGAAAAAACAGATAAAATAAATTTGACAATTCTAGTTTTAAAAAATTATTCTCCAAATAATGGAAACGTTTTTTCATCAAAAACCAAAGGGTATCTAAAAATTATGTTAGCCAAAAAAAATCAAAATTTTATTAAATTAAAGTTAAAAATAGTAGAATATAATTCAGGGAATCCTGTAATGATGGTTGGGAAGATGAAGGAGATAAAAAGAGTGGAAGAGTGAATAAGCTATCTGATCAAAAGGAATTCAAAATGAAAATCTTTTCTTTACAAAAATCTGTTGAAAAGGAATAAAGCTATGATTAAACTATTAAAAATCTATTTCAGTTATTTCAGTATTTCATTCTCAGAAGAAGTTGTGTAGTGTACTTTTGCAATTGTTTAAACCTTCCCAGTTCAAATATTTATCTTCATAAGCTGGCCTTAAAAATTAAACTACAAAATACATGCCCCCCCCCCCGGGACACTTCTAACAGCCCTCTTTCAGGGTTAAAAAGAAAAATATTATATTTTGGAACCCAAGGTTTGGTGTGGGGAAAACAAGGATGAAGGAGCCCTCATGGAATTGATGGAAAGCGGAAAAGTCAGGAAAAAAGAAATTGGAAAAATGATGATGGAACCCGAAAAGCCTAAAAATGGTGACTTGAACGGAAACAATGAAGCCCTGACTGAAATTAACTGCGTCCAAAAGAAGAAATTGAACGAAACTGACCGGAAAAATGAACTAGCAAACGGAAAAGATGTTGAGCAAGTTCAATGGAATGCAATCCATGATGAACCATTGAACCCAATGGAACGCAACATGAAGACTGGAACGGATGGAAAAGGATCGAAATCTACGGATATCACCAATGCGTATAAGTATGGTAAACTCAAAGGTATGATCATTGGAAGCAATAATGAAGAACGGATAACATGCAGCAGTGCTATGGAGTTTGATGTCAAACAAGGTCTTTCTACTCCGAAGGGAGTTCCTTTGGCCCATGTGCTTAGTGGTTTTGGATCAATTGAAAAGAGGCCTTTTAAGCTGGACATTAACTATATGAATCCAGGAAAAGAGTCAATTGGAGAGGTGTTGCAGGATCATTTCTTTGAAGGTATGATTTAATATACAATTGTTGATTTGTTCGAAAAGCTCTAATCCATATAAGTGGTGGTCCAACAGACTAAGCTTTCTTGTTTTGAATATACAGGGTGTCCCTCAAAACATGGCTGTTGGGGAATAGTTTAGAATGTCTTCTTTCATAATCTTTTAAGTCGTTTGATACCAAAGAAAATAATACAAATATCTTAAGGAAGTCATATTTTATAGTAAACTTATTTCATAGTAACATATTTTTGAGGAAAAGATAATTTTAACGAAATAATCTGCAAACGGTCTTTAATATTTCATACAATATATAAAAAAAGACATTCAAAACTATTTACCAACTGTCATGTTTCTTGAAATCATTAATTAATGAGAAGTGAGTTCTGAAAATTTTTGAATTGGATGCCCTTACTGCCGATTGCTTAATCTGAATGTCCTCCTCAAATACTAAGGATTTATGATTAATCCCTTTTTCCTGTTTTTTCCCTTTTTCCTGTTTTTTCCTGTTTTTTTCCCTTTTTCCCTTTCATTAAATGGCGTGAACAATTTCAAATTTGCCGGCTTCTGATTGTCTGTTCGGGATTCTGCATACACCACTGTGGTTGGTTGAATTATAGACACTTTCCTACATGCAAACTAAAGATTAAATTTCCTACATGCCAACTAAAGATTAAATTTCCTACATGCAAACTAAAGATTAAATTTCCTACATGCCAACTAAAGATTAAATTTCCTACATGCAAACTAAAGATTAAAGTAATCCTAAGATTAGCAATTAGATTAGAGATTGCAGCTCTTACTCTGACCTTCATTTGTCTTTTCTCTTACTCTGACCACCATTTGTGAAGAGATTATGGGGAAAGGAAAGGGGTTTATTTACACCAAGGCCGAGTAATTTAATATATACATTCTTGATATAATATTGCAGGGGCAGAGAAGCTTTTAGAGATATGGTTCACTACTTTATCAGGATACTGAGTCCCTATTGCAACTATTTTATTTAAATATCTTATATTACAAGTTGACAAGAACGACGTAATTACAAGTTTAATGTACATAACAATAAGATTAGCGAGGATAGATATAACGTAGTTAATCTATCTCAACACATATTTACAGCGTAGTTTTAGCTTAATGTAGATATTTAAAGTATTAACATGGATAGATATAAACGTAATCACAATGCATATTTTAATCATATTACGTTGCTCATGTTTAATATAGGTATGTTTAGGTTAACAAATATTGTTGTATTTGTTGCACGTACTCATTTGAAACACAGTTTAAATGAATAATGAGTTTTACGTAGAAGTTTTCAAACATAGATAGTTAATAATGTACAACGTACTGCAGGTTTACAGAATATCTTGTTACCAAATAATTATTACATATTTATATTTTGGAAATATGTATTAAATTTTATATAAGTTTTCCGTCAACCTTTGATCAGACAAAGGTACAAAGTCCACGAATGAAATGTTACTTAAAATTACGTTTACAGTCCCTTTAAGGTTGGGGGAGTTCGGGGGGTCTTCGATAAAACTTCAAAATGTTTTCAATCAAAAATGATTTTCAAAAAATGAAAAATGAATTCATAATGGATTAAATAAAACTGTCTTAGGACTGCTCTGGAGAAATTGCTAGGTACAGTTAATTGTGAGATAATTTCATCAAGGTGACATTTATAATAATAATAATACTACTAATAATACTACTAATAATAATACTAATAATAATAATAATAATAATATGATAATGATTAAGACATAACAGCGAGATAGACGCATATCTTCTCTCTGAGAGCTCAATGTTTGTCTCGAAAAGAAGGTAGGAATTATTTTGTTTAAAAGGAATTCGAGCAATTAAATTACAGAGTTACCTATTATTTACATCATTGAAATTAAATTAGAGTGTTACGTATTATTTACATCATTGAAATAAAATTACAGAGTTACATTATTTACACCATTGAAATTAAATTACAATTTAATATATTATTTGTTTATTATCCTGGGATTTGTTCCGCTCTGTATGATTCGCAATATTTCAATAACTTATTTTAAATTACGACATTATCTAATATGTTAATTTATTTATCTATGTACATTGTACATGCATGTACATCTTTTACACTGTACAGGTTTATTCTGAAGACCTGCGGTACAACCACTACCCTGCACTGTCTGGATGAACTGTTCCGGCTTGTACAGCAGTACACAGAGTTTGATGCAGTACAGGTAAATTGATAGCTTTTAGAGCTTTAAAGGGACTGTGAGCGTAATTTCGAGTGACCCTCCGTGCAAATATGACAATACAACGATACTCTTAAGACTTTAATCTGATTAAACCTGTGTTGAAGATATTGTCGTTTTTCTTACTCGAAAAGTGTTTAATTCTGATAATTACTCCATTACTTCTAATAAACAAGAACTTACGAAGAATTTTTAGGCCTCAAATGAAAATAAACAGGCCAAAGAAACAAATAAACAGGACAAAGAAACAAATAAACAGGACAAAGAAACAAATAAACAGGACAAAGCTTTTAATTGTATTTGTTGTTTATTGGAGGAGGGAGGGGTGGCTGCTCTCAGGGTTTTGGAATTGATCCCGGCCCAAGGTTTGGAGTGCTCCCAGGATTTTGAAGTTGCTCCCAGGGTTTTGGAGTAAAATGTAAAAATTTTACCGACCTTTTATTAGAAGTCCTTTAAAAACGGTTCTTTAAAACCAAAAATAAAAAAGGCTCTGCTAACCCTTTTTTACTGTCTTTGTTCATATATTTGCAGGAGAAAAAATCTCAAATTTCAGTCCAAGTAGCCTGTGGCGATCATATAGTTTTGATAAGCCAAACTGACGACATTTTTTTTAGCTTACACATTATTGGTAAATGCAAAAAAATCTCTATAAGCTATCTTATTTCCAAGTTTTTTTTTCAGAAAAATCCAGTCTTTTGCTCAAAAAAAAATCTTTAATGCATTGGTGCCATTAACAAATGCGATTTTACTCAACAGCCACAAAATAAAAATTGTTTTATGTCAAATTTTGAGCCTTCTATATGGCCTTTTTAAAGGACTTTTCATTAAAGGGTGGAATAAATTTTCACATTTTACTTCAAAACTATGGGAGTAACTCCAAAATCCTTGGAGCACTCCAAAACCCTGGGAGCAATTCCAAAACCCTGAGAGAAGCCACCCCTTCCTCGTTGGAGGGTCACTTTAAATTACCCTTACAGTCCCTTTTAAGGGACTGATTACTCGCCTCAAACTCTAAATTTGAAATCTTAATATTTAAAACAATTAATGTTAGTTCAAATAGTAAAAGTTTTAAGTATTAAAAGTTTATCATAAGGTTGCAAAGATAAAGTGACAAATATATTAGATTAAAAAAATTTAATTAATTTTATTTAATTTTTGCTAGATATATTTAGTACTTTACCCAGATATTCACATGTGCAGTGGATTATTTTATTTCATATTTTAAACATATGGATGTTATTTGATTTAAGCATAAGTGAAAAATTGTTGCAATTGTATCAACTCTATCCATCTAAATGTTTTTAAACTGGTTTGGAAGGGACCCCAGGGGGGTTATACCTCGAAAGTATCTATTATTTTATGCCAAAAGCCTGTTTTAAAAATTCAAATGTTAATATTTATTTTCTCCGACTTCTAGGATGTAAAGTATGAAAAGCTTGCAATAGGAGTATTCAACACTTGCTAGATTAATAATTGATAAATTAATAATGATAATTCCGGTATTCTTAAAGAGCCATTTAAAATTGCGCATCCAGTCCCTTTCAAAAAAAATAAAATTATTCAAATTTTTTTATTTCTAAATCTTATTTTAGAATGTTTTCTACTCAAGAAAGAATTTTGAGCGACCGGATCTTCAAAAATGTCCCCATCGGTAATTTTTTGGTAAAACAAAGTGTTTTAAAAATTGTACAAATTGAGTTTTGTTAATTGTTATTTTTTTCATATTTATTTTCTTAATAAGACATGAAAATAGCTATTTCAGATTTTTCTTTCATGAAATAATCTTTTTTAATTTGCCCAAATCTTTAAATCTGAAGCTTTACAAAAACAAAATAATGCAAAAGAAATTGAGTCTTTGCGCGCCGCAATCTCTGATTTTCTACTACCTATATCTTTGCAACCCAATGTTGTACACCATTGATCTTTCAAACTGTGAATTCTGACAGATCAAAGTTTGAAATATCAAAGGTTTACGTCATCAGGTTGCAAAGTGTTGGCATTAGAAAAATTTTAGTTTGCGGTAAAAACTCAATTCCTTTAGACAATTTAATTTCAGGCATTTTGAACAGGAAGCCCAAATCCTTGACAAGTACTTCCAGGAGGGAAAAGGTAAAAATTTTATAACTTAAAAAAAATTTGAATGAATAAAAAATTTATTTTTTCGAATCATCATGAAAAATAACTTACTTTTATTAAATTGAATTTTATTGACGTAACTATCTGACTTATGTTTGTATAGCATATCTACAGAAATATAAATTTGTATGTAAAATATAACAAAATATTTAGTTTTGATGATACAAAAAAAATTTAATCAAAGTTAGGACCCTATTTCTATTGAATCAGATCGACATCTTGTTCAGATTGATACAACAGAAAATTAATTTTTAATAAATGAAGACCTCGAAAGTAAAATTATAGTTTAATCATGACTTTTCAGAATTTTGTGAGATTATATGCATTTACTCCATATAATCCATATAATCCATCTATGTACGGTGTAAAATGTTAAGGGTAATGTATGCACACTGCACAGCTTGAACACTGCAAACTGTAATCTGTACACTGTACAAAATAACTTTAAGGATATTGTACTGTGCACTTAAAACTGTACCGAATATTAAAGTTTACAATATAAACTGTACGGAATATTGTACTGCACACTGTAATTACTGTACAGAATATTATACTGCACACTGTAAACTGTGCAGAATATTATACTGTACACTGTAAACTGTACAGAATATTGTACTGCACTATTAACTTTACATGCTATTTTACACTGTACATTGTAAATTGTACAAAATATTTACTGTACACTGTAAACTGTACAGAATATTGTAGTGCATACTGTAAACTGTGCATGATATTGTAGGTACACTATAAACAGTACAGAATATTGTACCGTAAGCTGTAAAATGTACAGAATATAAAAGTGCACACTGTATATTGTACTGTGCACAGTAAATTGTGCAGAATATTGTACTTTAACCTGTAAACTGTACAGAATATTGTACTATATACTGCAAACTGAACAGAATATTTTAGTGTAAACTGTAAACTGTACAAGATTTTGTACTGTACACTGTAAACTGTTCAAGATATTATACCGTACTCTAAAAAATGTAAGGAATATTTTACTGTACACTGTAAAACTGTGCCGAATATTGTAATGTACACTGTAATCAGTACATAATATTGTACTGTACACTGTGAACTGTACAGAAAATTTAACTGTACACTGTAAAACTGTACAGGATATTGTACTGTACACTCTAGAACTGTACAAAATATTGTACTGTACACTGTAAATGGTGCAGAATATTGTACTGTGCAGAATATTTTACTGCACACTGTTAACTGTACAAGATATTGTAATGTACACTGTAAACTGTACAGAATATTGTAATGTATACTGTAAACCGTACTAGATATTGTACTGTACACTGTAAACTTTGCAGGGTATTGCATGGGAAGCTTGAATAAGAATGATTGTTGGTATTTGTACACCTTAAATTCTTGTAACAGGTAAATCTTAGAATAGTTTTATAGTTCATACTTCATAAATCATAGATCATAGTTCATAGATTACAGTTCATAGTTCATATTTCATAGTTCATAGTTTATTGATCATAATTACTAATCGGTTTAAAATCCAGGTTTGTGGAGAATAGAGGAGAAGAACCTGATCAAACCATAGAAATACTAATGTCGGAGTTGAACCCTCAGGTTGGTTTTGACCTGTACTTGTACCTGTACCTGTGATCTAAGGTTGATAATCCCAGTGAAGGGTCGATAGGTTGATCTATGGTTGATAATCCTAGTAAAGGGTCGAAAGGTGCTCGAAAGCTGGTTGATATCCTCTCTTTCCACCATGCTTCCAAAGTTGCAAATACGAAAAAATCTGTATTTCAAACCTGTAATAAGTTACAGGTGAAATACATGGAATCAAGGAGAATTGAATAGAAGGAGGGGGCAATAGGGTTTCCGTACACTTTGCTGTGACGTTTTTGGACTGCTGGAGAACTAGTTTTTGCGTAACAACAATAATAAAGATTGTAAACAATAACACAAGTGATCAACAGACATCTGGCATCTCTGGCGCGTTAGTTGAAGATTCACCGTATACTAACTCATGTTTGTTTACATTAGATCGGCTGCCTTTATTATTGTTGTTACTCAAAAACTAGATCTTCAGCAGTTCAAAAACGTCACGGCAAAGTGTATTACGGAAACCCTATCACCCCCTCCTTCTATTCAATTCTCCTTGCATGGAATGGATAACAATGTTTTATTGTAACCAAAATGTTGGTCTAAATCGTTATAATATTTGATAAACAGAACTTACTAGTATTGTAGGTTGGGGAAAATGAAGGGTCAGTAGTATAAAACGTTTTGCGACTTCTGAAAAATAAATACCCGGTTGGTTACAAAATTATTGTTTCAGTGATAATCACGAATTGTTAAGCATTTCTATATTTTTACATGTTTTCACTTACCACGGGTTTAGCGTCTATTGACGGAGGAGGTTGGGTTTGGTTTCGGTTCCATGGTTTTAAGACGACTTCTATTGGAGAAACGTATAAGAACAACCCTCGAACTAGTTATATTGTAAACAATTTAAAAAAGGCTGCAGCACTTTGCAACAGGGCATGATGGCCGGACTTCATTAATAATGATTAACCAATGAAACGGACAGTATGCGTAATTTCAAGTATACCTCTATGAAAAGATGGACATGCCCGATTCACAACGATATCTACAAAACTCTTGTCTTGGACACCTTTTTTCTTCGTAGAATAAAAAAACATTATCAAAAAAAAATCGCGGATTCAACATATTTTTTTTGTGGATTTTCTAAATTTTACGAAAATCAAATTTTTTTGGAGACACATTTTTTAAAATTTCTGGGGTTATGCGTCTTGCCTTAAAAACACCCACCCAGCTAGACAAGCAAAGTATATGTAGATTGATGTCAACTTTTAAAATGATTAGTTTCTTTTTCATTAATATAAAGATTCTCCATTGTCTTACTTCTATTAAAAGAACTTAAACATAAAAAAAATTTCCGTTAATTGAATATTTTCAATCTTACATTAAACAGAAAACGTTCAATTATTTTAAAACTATTATAATATGTTATTAAAGGAATTATTTCATATTTTAGAAAAATATACTATGCGATTCCAATAAAACGTTGTAATTTTCCCAAAAAGTTATGAATGTTTGCGTCAAAAAAAAATTAGTTTTCATTTCGCTGAATTGCGAATTTGATTTTTAGGTTGGATTAAACTTATTTTCGGGAAAAAAGTATCAAAAAGGATATAAAAACGTGTCTTTTGGTGTTCAATTTTGCATCCCCCCCCCCCCCCCGATTTATAAAAACTATATAGCTTTAAATGTAAATTGTTTAGGTTATGAGTATATTTACCGAGAAGAGCTCCAAGAATGGACGGGACTGTACGAAGGTATTAGAAATTAGTGTTCAGACAATTCACACCCGTACCTTTAAAAGCTTTGTCTAGAATGAACTAGATATCCATGTGTTTGTTTTTGAAAACTGATTATTTCCATATTTTTTATTTCTGTACAAAAGTGACTTGCGCATTTCTTGCGTAAATCTTATTGACAAAGGTACCCATTAAACCTTAAACTGATGAACAATGAAGAAGTATGTCAATTTCCTTCCTTCCTGCAGCATTAACCGACGATTCACTCTTATTGGGCATGCCTCCGCTTAATATATTGAGAGTTACTTGAAATAACATCATGTCTAGACAGTAGCTTAAAGGGACTGTACGTGTAATTTTAAGTAACCCTCAATCCAAAGATCGCATTGCCCGATTTACAACGGTACCCTCGAAAACTTAGATTCACCGACATAAGGTCAAACGACATAGGGTCAAATGCCATAGGGTCAAACGACATAGGGTAAAAGAACATAATAGGGTAAAACGAAATAGGGTCAAACGACATAGGGTCGAAAAGTGCGACAAACGGGTAAGATTTCATTTAGACTATTTTTGGTTGATTTGAACTATCTTTATGTTCATTAGAAAAAGTGGCCTCAGCGCTCGGCCCCCTAGCCGCAGTGTTCGGCCCAGAAATTGGCTTAACCTAACCTTACCCTAAAATATTTTTATGTTATGTTCTATATTCATTTGAACTACTAGCCGCAGAGCAACGCTCGGTCCCTGTCCTAGACGGCCCCCTAGCCTTGTCTGAACCTTACCTAACCCTGAAATAATACATAACATATTTTTTCTCTTTTGACCTTTTTTTGTTTTACCCTTTGTCGCGTTTTTGACCGTTTGACCCTGTGTCGTTTGACCCTCTGTTTGTGAACCAAAACTTATTCTGATAAAAACGTAAAAGATAACGTCACGCGCGTTGTTCTGACTCGAAAAGTGTTTATTTCTTTGAATTTCCCATTGTTTCCAATAAAGCGCAAATCACTTTCGCTAAGAAACCTCAGTTGAAAATGAACAGTTTAAATAAATAAAAACATGCTTATCTAATTCATACTCGATTGGACAAAGCATATTGGTATAGAGGGTCACTTGTTATCAAACTTAATGTTCCTAAAAAATAAATTGTTTTTCTTTCCATTTTTAAATTAAGTCTTTCTGGGAAATTGGACCTCATTAAATTTTTGATATGTATATTATATTTTTCATATTTACAATTCTGTAGGTGTAAACAGTTTTATTATGAAAATTTATCTTTTTTACGAACACTCCCTTTAAGGATTAATAAAAATTAAGTTGGTAGTCTCCTTATTTGTTGCAGAAGAGTGGAATAGATAAACTGGTTCCTAGTCTGGAAATAGACGATTACCTGTTCTCCCCCTGCGGGTACTCCATGAACGGGATCCTGGACACGGTGAGTAAATCTTGGATTAAAACAGTTATAGATGTTTGGTACTTTCCCAAGTGGAAATTTCACAAATGTGCAATTTTCCAAATGGAAACTTCCCAAATGTGCAATTCCCAAAATCTGTCCTGGCCTCAGTGTTCGGTCCATAGCAAAGTTCTAAAGTGCAAATCTCCTCAATAGAAGGGACTGATTCATTTGGTGTACTGTACTGTCCAGTTTTGCCTTATATAGTCTGTGTACGTATGTGTACCGACAGCTTGATTTAGCTGCTAAAAATTCGGTCCGGTACTTGAAATGAACTGGAGTTTACATTGAGTGGAGTCCATGAAACTGTGGAATAGGAAGACGACGCTTACAAAATCTTAATTTTAAATGTTGTTATTAAGCAAAAGTACCTTGCAGTTTAGCAAATCAACTTATTTTTTTTAAATGGTTCCGGGTTTCGTGTTCATTAGACTTTCTTTAATAATAATATTAGTCGGCTTCCTTGTGCCAAATGCCACAGTTTCATTGAACACACGGAAGACGACGTTTAGAAATTATAAGTTTATTTTATGTTGTTATATTAAGCAGAACATTTTACATGAGGATGGAAACGCTACACAATTGATATATTTCATCTTAAATCATAAATCTAACAGTCGTCTTCCTATTCTACAGTTTTATAAATCCCACTGTAGGATCTGTAGGAGTAAGAGAATTTGGATAATAGGGGACAATCGTAATTTTCCCTTGAAAGATGAGGCACATGCCAGATTCACAACAGTACTGTTTATTAATACTTTATCTGATCAATATTGTGTAAAATATTGTCGTTTTTATAGATTAAAAAGTTGCTATTCTAATAATTTTCTCCATTTTTTGTCAGGAAATATTTGAATGACACTTTATAATACAAAAGAGAAGAAGGTGGAAATCTCATGAATTCTTGATCAGACAAAGCTTTTAAAGGGTACCGGTGTGAATCGAACATTATAATGGAAAATTACTTGAAATTACGTTGACAATCATTTTAAAGAAAGTTTATACCTAGGATTCTGGTGGAAGAGAGGAGTATGTAACCATACATATAACTCCTGAACAAGAATTTAGTTATGTCAGCTTTGAAACTAATATTTCTCAAGGTTCATACACTGATCTAGTGAACAGGTACTTTTTTATTATTCGGAGAGGAGGAAACACATTCACTCTTAAAGGTGTTCTGTCATGTTTTACCATTTATTGGTTGAACTGTACAAAACTTGCTCTGGCTACTAAATATTTGGGCCGGTTTTTTAAATGAACCGGAGTATTTAGTGACAATAATCTCTCTAGGAGGGGGATATTTCATTTGGTTATTTTATCCTGAATTAAAACCAAGTTGTAGATATTTTAACGAATCAACTTTTTCCAAGAAATTCAAGTTTTCTTCAAGGAAAGAAATATATTTCAAAAGTAAATTTAGTTTTCAGAAATCTGCTTTTTCAGCCATTTAAAATAATTATTTCAAATTTTAAAAACAAGACGCTCATTATTCTTTTATTATTTTGTAAAATTCAAAATGTTCTCTTTCACTTTATTTAATCACAATTTAGCAAAATGTTAAAAACATTAAAAGATTTAAACATCTGGAAAAATTTCAATTTTTTCAAAAAACATTCTTCTAAATATTTCTTTATGTTTTTTGGTGAAATATTTGAGGGAAAGTCGTCGAAATTGATTTAGATATCTTTAACTTTCATTTGAAAAATTTATAATTTTCAATTGGGATTTAGCTCTGATTATTGTGGCTTTTGGGTTCATGCTGCAGAGACAATCACGGAATTTGATTCAATTTATCTCTTTTGGGTTCATGCTGCAGAGATAATATGGAATTTGATTTAATTTATCTCTTTTGGGTTCATGCTGCAGAGATAAATATGGAATTTGATTCAATTTATCTCTTTTGGGTTCATGCTGCAGAGATAAATATGGAATTTGATTCAATTTATCTCTTTTGGGTTTATGCTACAGATTATATTCTACAAGAGCTTGAGCATTGCTCATATTATGAGTTTTTATTTTGCATTTTGCATTTTTAATAGATATAACTGATAATATTATTACATATAGTCCGTATTAAGTCACAATAACTTCAGCCAATGATAGTGCAGTATCGTTGTCACATGGTACAGACGGAAATCACGTGACCAGTAAACTGCACTGCCATTGGCAGAAGTACTGGTGACGTAATACGGACTATACGGATTAAATATAATAATATTATCAATTATATCTATAAAAAATGCAAAATACAAATTAAATAATTATAAACAGGAGCAAACCTGAGATTTTCAGGTTGCTGTGAGATATAGTCGTTTTCAGATTGGCTGCGTAATTGTTGAATATCATCTATTTGATACTACAACAAAATCTGGCATAGGCCCGTTTTGGTATCATTTTGACACAGTTTTATGTCAATTTCTTGAGACAGGAACATAAGATAGATGTCTTATAGGAATCGTTCAAAACCTGAGATTCTCAGGTTTCATCCTAAACCCCCTTTCATTTTTCCTTTACAGTCCCTATAAGACAAAACATCTTCAAGGTACATTTGCTTCTAACTTGTAGCCTGTTTATCTTGTTGTTAACTCTAAAATTGATAAGAATGATTTGTATATTTTTATGTTGAAACAACATATGCGTACTTTTCCGTACTTAATTGTTTACTTTGGATTTCATAAACTTGAATTTTTTGACACAAAAAAAATAGTTTTCTTTCTGAATTTAGTAAACTTGAATTATTTAATTATAAAGAACATTTTCCTTCGAATTGATTTTCAAAAAACGATTGGAATAAGCCATCAGGCAAAAAGTTTGTTTTTTAACCCCTGAAACTTTATCTAACTAAATGTAACTATGCCAGAAGATCTTAAATATTTTATAAATTTAAATTCCATGACTAAAGTCACAAAAAGTTTCACTGTAACTATTGAACTTAATATCGAAATCGTTATATTTTCTAGAATTGTTGAGTGAAAGATTACGATAGAAAAAGTGGCATTCAAACTATTACAGATGTTGACTATAATTGTTTTGAAAGTACATAATAAAAATCAATTTATTTTGATAATTTTACTGCACAATTTTTAGAAAATTCAAAATCCTTTGTGACATTTAAAGGGAATGACCGGCTATGTAAGGTAGTTGAACTGAGTATGCATTATGCAATTTTGTGGAAATCTTCTTTCGGATTCAATAATAATTTGAAAAAACTTATTCTGAAAACGTATCCACCCCTAAAGTAGGAGTTACGTCGAATTTGCGCTCAAACTCAGGATTTACAGATCTTTAAAAAGTGTAATATGTCTCAAATGTATCCGAAAGAAGTTTTCCACAACACTGCATACTCAGTTCAACTACCTTACATTGCCGGTCACTCCCTTTAAAAATACAAAAGAATAAAAACGACGATAGTTTTTCCAATGTTTCCTGGTGACCACTGTATATTTTACAATGTTTCCTGGTGACCACTGTATATTTTCCAATGTTTCCTGTTGACTACTGTATATTTTCCAATGACTACTGTATATTTTATTGTATAGAGTGCTGAGTACATTTTGCCCTGGAAAATTCATCATCACAATATTTTCTACAAAGGTGATATTTTTCATTCATTAAAGGGAGTGTTCACAAAAATGGAAAGGGTACAGGGAAGATATGAATTCAATTTTATGTTGTTAATCGAGACTAATTTTACGCTTTTTGTGTGTATGTATTGAGAAATAGAAATAAGACTCACCATAATAATTGAATATTATTAATGTTCAATATGTTTTTTTTCTGTTTTAAAATGTGATTTAAATGCAACATTTGTTTAATCTGATTTGATATTGATTCTAAACTCATGAGTAGGAGGAGTAAATATAAACATCAACCTAGTAACAAGAATTAAAAACACGTTGTTATAAAAACAGGATTGCATAGTATCTAATTTAACACTTCTTAATGCAAATATTTATTCATCCATTTTATTTATATCAAGTTTTAGGTTTTTTAAGTTGAGACTTTAACCATAGATTTCATTGAAGTCAGCTAAACAACTTTTGTTTTAATTTCTTTTGATTCTTTAAGTGAGCTAAAACTACGATGTCAATGTCAATGTCGATGTTTTTTTCTTCCATTAAACTTTCTAATCCTTATATCTTTTCAACCCAATGCCGTAGATATTAGATATTTCTAACTATCTGATAGATGAAATAATCTAAGTTTGATATATCAAAGGTTTGCATTATCAAGTTGCTAAGATATATGGATCAGAAAATTTGAGTTTGTGACAAAGACTCAATTCCTTATTCATTACACCATTAATTAGTTAAATTCAATGCAAACATTCAATATTAAGATCATTTTATTTCAGATGATGCAATGCAAGTAGACATTTAAGTTTAATATCCTTTGTGATAACCCTGTTTACTTCTTAATACTTATCCCTGTTTATAAAGTTTTTGTCAATTTATTATGATTCTTCAAGTGAGTTAAAATATCATGTGTAAACTTTTTAATCGAATCTATATTATCTATGTTTATAACACCGCTCTATATTTATCTATGTTTATAATATTCTATATATATATATCTATGTTAAGAACTTCGATTTATATTTATCTATGTGTATAACTCCGATCTATATTTATCTATGTTTTTAACATCAATTTATGTTTATCTATGTGTATAACTCCGATCTATATTTATCTATGTTTTTAGCATCAATCTATGTTTATCTATGTGTATAACTCCGATCTATATTTATCTATGTTTTTAACATCAATTTATGTTTATCTATGTGTATAACTCCGATCTATATTTATCTATGTTTTTAACATCAATCTATGTTTATCTATGTGTATAAAACCGATCTATATTTCTCTATGTTTTTAATATCAATCTATGTTTATATATGTGTATAACTCCGATCTATATTTCTCTATGTTTTTAACTCCAATCGATATTTATCTATGTTTATAACATCAATCTATGGTTATCTATGTTTATAACTCCGATCTATGTTTATCTATGTGTATTACACCGATCTATATTTCTCTATGTTTTTAACATCAATCTATGTTTATCTATGTTAATAACTCCGATCTATACTTATCTATGTTTTTAACATCAATCTATGTTTATCTATGTTTATAACTCCGATCTATATTTATCTATATTTATTACTCCGATCTATATTTATCTATGTTTTTAGCATCAATCTATGTTTATCTATGTGTATAACTCCGATCTATATTTATCTATGTTAAGAACTCCGTTGCTGCTGAATTTCACTCTGAGTTGAAGATATCTGCTAAGTTTAAGACCTGGAGAAGACAAGATGTTCAAACCTGCAGTTTACAGGTCATTCAACTCTTATATCTAATCATCATCTGTGCAGTCTAATGTTGTATACCTTTTATTTTTCAAACTTAAATCACGTGAATTTCCTTAGAACGATCTGATTCATTTGGTGTACGGTCCCGTTTTGACTGGTATAATCTGTATGTGTACTGTACAGCTCGCTCTAGCTGGTTAGATGTCGGCCCGGTTATTGAGATGAACAGGACTTAACAGTGAAATGTTGTTAATTCATTTTGTCAAAGTTTAAAATCCAAAGACTTCCATCATAATGTTGTAAAGCTTAAAGTAATAGAAAATTAGAGTTTAAATCAATCTAATAATTAGCTTTATAGTATAGATTAATGCATTTTAACCAACTTCAATATGTACATTTGATACTTCTAAACCGGGACTAAAATCTATTTATCTTTCTATCTGCAGAGTGGAGAAGTGACCTACGCCAACTTTGCTAAGTCTCCTTCCTGAGAAATGTGGCATCCTGGGTCCAGCCCTGGGACATAAATTCCAGGTAAACTTTAGTCCAGCCGCGGGACAAATATTCCAGGTAAACTTAAGTCCAGCCCTGGGACATAAATTCCAGGTAAACTTTAGTCCAGCCATGGGACATATATTCCAGGTAAATTTTAGTCCAGCCCTGGGACATATATTCCAGATAAACTTTAGTCCCGCCCTGGGACATAGATTCCAGGTAAATTTTAGTCCAGTAACGTCATTGTAATTGTGTTTATGTTAACAGGGTTCTTTTTTAATCAAGAGTCTTTTAAATGACGCGAATAATAACTTTAAAGAGAAAAATCTCGAAAAACAAAAGTCATTAAATTATTTACAGCTATAACGTTTTTCGAAAACTTTCCGTTTAATTAACAAAATTTAGAATCCTGAAAAAACCTTTAAAAATTAAAATTTCTGGCGTCTTATTATTATAACATCTTTAAAAAAAATTTAATCTTGAACATTTTAGAATATTTTCTTGCGAATGAAATCTGTAGTCGGTTGGATAGTATAAGAGTTATTATATAACATGTTTTTTGTTTGTTATCGTTAATATTAAATTGTTTGTACTTTATTATCTGGGAGGCTGGGTCTGGGGGTGCACTTACTGGAAACTGATTATGTTTATATAACTATATTTGGATATACAAACTATTCGTCATTTATTTTAATAAATATTTTTCCAATATTTTTGTTTTTATTCAGAAAGAGTAGATAGAGTTACTGAGATTCTTAATAAGCCTTTTCTTACAATTTTTTGGTGAAACCACGGGGGTAATTATCTTACTAGATAGAAAATACAAAAACAAATGTTATATTTAGGGGCCTGAAACATTTGCTAAACTCAATTATGTTTTTTAAATGTTATCTTTTTGACAAGTATACGACAAAGGAATAGATTTTCTAATCCTAATATCCTTGTAATCCTTTCATATTTTAAAATTTAAATTCTGTTGTATATAGAAAAGGCTAAATTTGAAGCATCAAAGGTTTACACCATCAGGTTGCAAAGGTATTATGATTAGACAATTTGAATTTGCGCCAAAAACTCCATACCTTCCGCAATTAAGTAGGTCTTAAACGTCTTTTGGGTCAAGTCTGGATTATTATTAAATAAATTTCGGTCCCTGGACTCATTTAAATATTCAAAAATAAATTTTCAAGACGTGGTGCACATTTAAGTGTCGTAGGATCTGATTGCAAACATTCTAACTGAGTTTTGCTTGAGAGATTACGAAATTTGATTATTCCAGGTAAATTTTAGTCCAGCCCTGGGACATATATTCCAGATAAACTTTAGTCCCGCCCTGGGACATAGATTCCAGGTAAATTTTAGTCCAGCCCTGGGACATATATTCCAGGTAAACTTAAGTCCAGCCCTGGGACATATATTCCAGGTAAATTTTAGTCCAGCCATGGGACATATATTCCAAGTAAACTTAAATCCAGCCCCGGGACATATATATTCCAGGTAAATTTTAGTCCAACCACAGGACATAAATTTCAGGTAAACTTTAGTCCAGCCCTGAGACATATATTCCCGGTAACTTTAGTCCAGCCCTGGGACATATATTCCACGTAAATTTTAGTCCCGCCCTGGGACATATATTCCAGGTAAATTTTAGACCAGAACTGGGACATGTATTCTATGTAAATTTTAGACCAGACCTGGGACAAATACTCCAGGTAAATATCAGTCCAGCCCTGGGACAGATACTCTAGGTAAACTTTTTTTTATGTTTTTGTATTTGTCTCCTTGCATGAAACTGTAACAAACTAATAAAATGTTAATTTTAGAAATCTGGATCCTGCGTTCCTCAAACTTCTTAAACTCTTTATTACCCATGACATTAAAACTACTTGTGAACGGTAACCACTGTTTAGTTCTATTTCCAAGCTGCGGCATTAAACTTAACTTGATGCATGCAAGTTATTTAGTGCCTGTGTTTGTTTAGAATTTTATGTGTGACTTTGACGAACAGACAACAGTACAATACTATACAGTACAGTGCAGTGCAGTTCAGTATGGTACGGTACCGTACAATACAGTACAGTGCAGTGCAGTACAGTACAGTACAGTACAGTCCAGTACAGCACAGTACAGTACAGTACAGTACAGTACAGTACAGTACAGTACAGTACAGTACAGTACAGTACAGTACAGAAAATATTAGTTGTTATTTTATGTTATTTTTTTCATTTTTGACATTTCATTACTAAATTCTAGCACTGTAATAACAACATCATTATTTTCAGACAAACTAGGACTGGTTAAACGATATTTTGATATAGATTTTAAATAAATTTGGGAAAGTTCTAATGGATTCTTTTTTCAAAAAGTGCAAAAAACAGTTTACGCTTGCAGAAAACAAGCAAAATAGCTGAAATTTGCACCCCCCCTCCCTCAACAAACTCTAGAGTCTATGTATAACTAACGTCATTGTAATTGTGTTTATGTTAACAGGGTTCTTTTTTAATCAAGAGTCTTTTAAAATGACGTGAGATGTCACTTTAAAGAGAATAATCTCGAAAAACAAAATTTATTAAATTGTAAACAACTATAACGCTTTTTTCGGAAACAAAATTTTGAATCCTGAAAAAATCTAAATATTAAAATTTCTGGCGTCTTTATTATTATAACATCTTATTAAAAAAATTTAATCTTGGACATTTTAGAATATTTTCTTTCGAATGAAATCTGTAGTCGGTTGAATAGTATATGAGTAATGAACATATCGGGTCTCCGATGAAAATTTATAAAATTTTTCCCAGATTCCAAATTGTTGACAAAATAAACCCTAGGAAGGGACTGTGTCCTGTGAGAGCTGTGACACTGTCTACTTTGAGAATATTTGTTCTATTATTGGCTAAAAATTATTAAATAAAATCATATAATTTTCTACAGTAATAATTATAACAGTTATTAACAAAACATAAGTACAATAAATATATGTAAAACTACTTAAGTTGAGATTAACATGGTTGAAAGCTGGTTTCTCAAAGCCCATCTGTTACCCTGCAGAGATGCTTAAAATACATATTTTTGTTTAAAGAAGCCTTGACATGGCAGGTTTGTTTTGCTAAGAATCTTAAAGTTTAAAAAGTCCAGAAATTAAATGAATTCATTATGCATTCTTTCACTTTTGGATAAAAAATCAAAAAATGAAATGAATTAAAAAAACAAAGATTTCACTGGTCCAGTGTGGGGGGGGGGAGGGGTGTCTGAGTTTCCCCCCCGGCTCTAGCCTCTGTGCGAGATCTGTGAGATTGTTTACTTTAAAGAAGTTTGTCTAAAACTGGATAGAAAAAATTATATTTTTGTTAAATAAGAGGATTAAGGTTAAAAAATTTCAGAATTTCAAAAACTACAGAACATTTTATAATATAGAAAGATTATATAAAAACTTTCACTTTTGGATCAAAGCAATCTTTAAATGAAAGTAAAAACTTTTAAACTGCAGGACATCTCATTTCTATCTTTTCTTTATTTGCATTAATCATGACAGAAGAAAAATTTTAACCTTCAGTATGCCATGGATAACCTTATAAAGTACACAGTATATATATATGTGCAATTTATGTACATGAATGTACATTGCATGTACAACGTTTATACTTAGATGGATCGAGGGGAAACTGTACCGTACTGCTGTTTCAGCTGTCTCTTCTCCAAAAGGAAAAAAATGATTTTTAAAAGTTATTTAATACAGTGAGGCCCATTAAACTGTGGAATAGGAAGACGACTGTTAAGATCCAAGTCATGGTTTTAGATATTCCAATTTAATTGAAACACATCAATTGTGCAGTGTCCACTGTACACACTGTACACACTGTACACAGGCCCATTTAGGTAATAGTGAAACTATTTGCTTTAAGACAACACAGAATACACATAAAATTACTCGAATGTCGTCTTCAAATTCTACAGTTTTATGGTTCTTACTGTAAAATTAAGAGATGGATGCAATATTATTGGAAACTTTGATATTTAATTTAATTTAATAAAATCATAAACAGACAGTTTGGAAACTTCAATATATCTGGTTACGTGAGAACTTTCTTGGTAAGTCTAATTAACACTAAAAAGTCCTTTCAACATTAAAAAGTCTTTTTTAAATGTAAAAAGTCTTATTAACACTAAAAGATCTTTTAACACCATATCTATAGATTCTTTTTACGCTAAAAAGTCTTTTACCCTTTTAGTATTTTTAGTGCTAGCACCTTCATTTTTGACACTATCACCGTAAACTTTTGTGATTTTTAATGAAAAGAAATTTAAAGGATTTTTTTAAAAATTTTTTTAGTGCACAGGATAGAGTACAGGTCGGAAAAAAGTCCGGTCTGTGTAAAAAAGGATCCAATGCAAGGAAAGTTATTTCAGAAGTGTACACATCTTTTGTACTGCAGTGTACTGCATCTGGGACGAAACATGACAGTTGGTGAATAATTTAGAATGTCTTCTTCCATAATTTGTTAAGTTGTTTGATACCAAAGACAATAATACAAATACTATATGGGAGTCATGTTATAGTAAAACTGGTTTCCAAGTAAAATATTTTCCAGAAAAAGATTGTTTTAACAAAATAAACTGCTATAAGCCTTTAATATCTAATAAAGTATATAAAAGACGACTTTCATAACTATTTACCAACTGTCATGTTTCGTGGGACACCCTGTAGGAAACTATTATGTAAATTATCAAAATTATCAAAATTTAATGCTTTTAACCTCCTCGGATACTAAACGAACACTGATGCATCTATTCTTGTTTACAAATTCCGCTCAAAGAGAACTGGTTTCAATGTGTACGCAGTGTATACACGACCGCAATCAACTTTCCTTGTATTACACCCTTGATATAGCCCATACCTTTTTTTGTAACTAAAGCTACAGATCTTAAAACTATATTTGTGAAAAGCCTTTGAAAAATGGATGTAGAAACATGTGTCACACAGCACACTGTGATATTTTTTTTAAAACAAACAAATAATTTTTCGTTTTTTGACCCTTTTATGGCATTTTTTTCAACCCTTTTTTGGCATTTTTTNGTAAATGAATTTTGTTTGCTTGGACTTATCCTTGGTCGATATATGCTATACTATATCATAATAGTAATCTTACTATTTACAGATTGGGAGTTTACTTGGACTTATCCTTGGTCGATATATGCTGTACTATCATAGCAGTAATCTTACTAATTTACAGATTGGGAGTTTACTTGGACTTATCCTTGGTCGATATATGCTATACTATCATAGTAGTAATCTTACTAATTTACAGATTGGGAGTTTACTTGGACTTATCTTTGATCGATATATGCTATACTATCATAGCAGTAATCTTACTAATTTACAGATTGAGAGTTTACTTGGACTTATCCTTGGTCGATATATGCTATACTATAGCATAGCAGTAATCTTACTAATTTACATATTGGGAGTTTACTTGGACTTATCCTTGGTCGATATATGCGCACTAACTCATAGCAGTAATCTTACTAATTTACAGATTGGGAGTTTACTTGGACTTATCTTTGATCGATATATGCTTTACTATATCATAGTAGTAATCTTACTAATTTACAGATTGGGAGTTTACTTGGACTTATCCTTGGTCGATATATGCTATACTATCATAATAGTAATCTTACTAATGAGATTAATCATATCAAAGGTACACTTTAAAAAATTAAAACTGAAATATTTTTTTCGGATACAACTTGCAGATTTCCACAGCAAAGATGAGTTTAAAGGGAGTGTTCACGAAAAATGAAAGGGGAAGTAGGCTTGTGGCGAAAATTAAACGCTTTTGATCGCTACAAATCTTATTTTCTATCTGTTGCCTCTATAAGGAGAAAATTATCAAAACGACTTTTACTGAAGAACGTAGCATTCATACAAATTCAGAAAGTTGCAACATAGGACTCAGATAAAAAATAATCAATTTAATTTCAAACAAATCATGCAGATATTAAAACCTGAAGTAATCGATTATTTTTTGACGAATTCGTATAAGTTAATATTTCATAATATTTGTTATTTGTTTTATACACTTAAAATGACTTTTTTCCGGTAGGTGTCTCTGCCACGTGTAATCATGCATTCAAAGCACCGAGAGCAGAGACACCTGGCGGCCAACTATTTTGGCGTTTTAAGTGCATTTTAAGTGCATTTTATGATCCTAATCGTATATTGCAATTTTCTTAATTTGTATGGAGGCCACGTTCTTCAGTATAAGTCGTTTTTAACAATTTTCTCCTTATAGACGCATCTATAGAAGTAAGATTAGTAGAAATCAAAAGCGATTATTTTTCGCCGTAAGCCTATATATACCCCCTTTAATTTTTCGCGAACGCTCCCTTTAAAAACGGAAAAAATATTATTAATATTTTACAAGATAAGAAAACTAAGATATCGTTTCTCAGATAAAGGATTAAGAGTATCCGTGTTAGGTCATGTCAATAAATTAGCTTACTAAAAATCACAACATTAAGCTTTTAAAACCATTTCATATTTGTTGTTGACCCCTTGGTTTTAAAATAAGAAAAAGATTATTTTGTTCTTAAATGGGATATTTTGATTGATATTTTGATCTTAAGCTTAAAACAAAGTCATAAAATAAATTCATTAATTCTTAAAATAAACTTGTATTTTATTTTTCAGATGAAACTGTCCTGTATCATCAAATGGAAAAGGAAAAAGTTCTATTCTATTATCATAAACTCGAAAAACAATATACAGCGATAACCAGAAAACTCTGAAATAGGAAGACCACTTTCAGAATCAGTTGACTTTAAAAAATCCAACAAGCATGAGACACAGCAATTGTGCAGTGTAGACAGTCCCATTTGTTTGAATTAGTTATTTAATACAATGAAACCCTTAATAACGAATACATCGGAAGAATTTATCAAATGTCGTCTTGATAATTTTTTAATGAGTTTTATACTATATTACGTAAATTTCAGTATTTGCGAAAATAAATAAATAGCCATGAACATGCGGGAACAGTTTTAAAGAGTTCCATATAATCATTAAATTAAAAAACCAAATATCTGCAACATTCCATTATCAGAAAGTGAACAATACGACATTTGATAAATTCTTTCGATGTATTCTTTATTAAGGGTTTCACTGTAGTGAAACTATAATTTGCCTTGAAACAGCACCATATACACTTGAATATTGCAATAATGTCGTTTTCCTATTCCATTGTAAAATGTTTTTAACAAGGCTGTCACAAACTACAATAAATATTTACAGTGAGAACCATAAAACTGGAAAAGAAAGACGACACAGAAGCAATATTGAAAGTGTATTTGATTTTGATGACGTTAAAAAGAAAGTAGTTTAAAACGCAGCTTAAAAATCAGCTGGAAAGTGAAACGGTTTGTGCAAACTGCACAATTGCTGCGTCCGCCTTCATTGAACAATTAAAATTAAAACTAGAATTTAGAAGACGACTTTCTATTCCAGAGTTTTATAATTCTCACAAAATATTTTAAAACCAAAATAATTCAGCAAAATCTTTTTAACAGAACAAATTTTTAAAAATCCAAAGATTTTAGGAACAGTTCTATTATTATTGAAGCAAATGTGAAAACATTTTAAACGCTCTTATATTGAAAGACAGATTTTTAAATAAAAGCATTTTTGATTCATCGTTAAACACATTTTCTTGAGTAAAAATAAAATAAATCTTTTTTCGAGGATTGTCATGCTAATCGTGGTTTAGAGGTTTCAAAAATAAGTTCTAATATCAAACAAGAGGTATATAAAGCTTAAATAACGATGCTAATCAGATTTGGTGTCAGTATAAATTACAATTAACAGTGAAAATAAAATAAAAATCTTATATTCAATAATTTCCTTTTTGAAATTCGTTTTTAGTCAATAAGATATAAGTTTTTACCCAGCAAACAAACTCGAGTTAAAATCGAGTAACACTTGACTTTTGCCTTCTACAAGGGGGGTTTTAATCGAGTTTAAAAAAGTGGAGTTTTCACCTGCAATAGTCGTGCATATCTGGATTAAAAATCGACTTTTCACCAAGTTGGGGGGTTGTAAAAATCGATGTCGACTGGATGATATCTGGAGAATTTCTGGATGATTTTTGGAAGATTTCTGGATGATTTCTGGATGATATTTGGATGATATTTGGATGATATTTGGATGATATTTGGGTGATATCTGGATGATGAAAAGTGGAGTTGTTTTCTGCATTAATCGTGCCATATCTGGGTGAAAACTCAACTTTTCATCAAGTTGGGGGGTTGTAAAAAATATCGACCGGGTGATATTTGGATGATATGTGTTTGATATTTCGATGATATGTGGGTAATATCTGGATGATATGTGGTGATATTTGGATGATATTTGGGTGATATCTGGATGATATGTGGGTGATATCTAGATGATGATAGTTTTTTGAAGTTTTTAGAATTTTCTTTGGTCTCCATTATTATTGGATTTTTTTTTTCTGGGGGAAGGGTCACCATAGTTTTAGCAGTTTTATATATTTTTATTTTTATCATTGTATTGTTTACTTTAGATTTCATTGGATTTTAAAATTTTCCTCCATTTCTGAAGATTTCATAATTTTCTTTTGGTTTCATTATTTCTGACATTACTTTTAGTTTTAAATTTTCCCCAGATATGTGTTTCCAGTTTTCATCTTTAAATTACTAGAGTTTTCATCGTTTACTGGTGTTGAATTTTCGTAATTCATAGATTTATCTTTTTGAATTTTGCTACTATAGATTTTGTTTATTGTTCTACTGTAATATTTAAAGCGTGATGTAATATTTAGAGTATGATCATATACTGATAAACCCTTCAACCCTTTCTCCAGCTCTGAACGGAGTAGAGAACCTGAAGAATAAGAGCCAGTGCACCCCAGATCTTTCTACACCAGGAGTTGCTCTATACTCTGCAGAGGATTTTTATACAAAAACCCAATCTTGCTTGTAGCCAAGAGTAGCTAGAATATCGGTATAGACCAATGACTCCAGGAGAGGAGGAAAACGCGAGGATCCATGAGGACGGGATCTATTGTCCTCCAGATATGTTTGAGAAACCAGGAGGTTTATGAGACCTGGGGAAAAATGCTCTTTACAGACAGTTCCTTAACAACCAGTTGTGAAAGCATCTGACTCAGATTTAGAGCTAGAAGAACTCCAGAACCAGGTACTCCTTCAATTCAATCTCTGACTCCAGAGTATCCTTTAACTCCAGGAGCGGCTAAGATAACTGAGGAAGCATTTTTTGAAACAGCAGAAGACATGGAAGATGTTGTTGACAAACTATAGTTGAAGAACGGCTGCCTCATGGTTAAAGGAATCCTTATCTGAACACTCCAATCCTAGGACTCCTAGTGAAGATATAGAACTAGAGGACTTATCTGAATCTAAGGAAGCTGCTCAGGGCGATCCTACTCCCGAGCTGCTGAATGAAGTATTTGATTTTAGCGATCCTGAACCGCTACAGTTAGATGAGATGGAGGAAGCTGTTCAGAGACATAATGGACTGGAGCAGCTAAATGAGGGCTTCATGGTCAGAGATCCAGAACAGCTAAATGAGATATCTGGATTCCGGTAAGCTGCTCAGACAACCCCGGAACTTGGACAGTTAAATGAAGGACTTCCTGAAAGAGAGGCTTTGAGGATTGTATATAGGAAGTATACCTCAATTGACTAGACAGGGAATTGCAACACTTGAGGTGGAGCTCAGAACTTATGACCTTCTCTGGTTTGTCTTACTTCCACTGGATTTCTTGAAACCACAGACTGGATTAGCTGGAGCATTGGAGGAGCTTAATATACTCAAGGACCTTATAGATGGACAGAGGACTAACATACTGCATCTAGCTGAAGTGTGTCTTCTAAAAACACATGAGAAACTGATTAAAACAAGAATACCCTAAACAGATGTATTTCGACAAATGAACTAGTTGATAAATCACATTCCTCCATACTCTGAGAGATATATATATACATATAAGAGAGAGAACATTAATGGGGTTTATGAAGCAAAGTACAGGACTTAGAAGAAAGACGTTTGTACACGCCCAAACAGAGGGAGCAAATGATTGATCTCGAAAGATTTATATCTGTAATTGTAATCAATTGAATAGGTCTAATCATTACACTACTAAATTTTTGAATTTTGGTACTAGATTTTTGTATTTTGGTACTTGATTTTTGTATTTTGGTATTTGATTTTTGTATTTTGGTACTTGATTTTTGTATTTTGGTACTTGATTTTTCTATTTTGGTACTTGATTTTTGTAATTTAATACAGAAGTTAATATTTACAGTAATTCATAAACGAATAAAATTGCATAAATTTTGCTTAGAATTCGTATGAATAAACAAATCCAATTATTTCAAAATTTAAACTTGACACTACATGGCTTTTAAAATTAAATTTTATAAAAAACTTATTTCAATTCTCTATTTCTTCAGGAGAGAGATATAATTGGGCTGGAGCTAGACATTGATATCATGAAACAATTAATGGTAATTCTTTATTTTATTTTTATAACTCTTTTTTGTAATAAGCTCTGAATTGGGATTGACGGTACATATAAATTGTTGTCTAAGGAAATACGACAGTTACGAGACGACTTGAAGGGTGTCGTTGATTATTTTTAAATTGTGGGATCGATTTGTAAACTTACTCTTCACGTTTATAATTCTTAAAATAATAATCAAAAAATTTTCATAGTACTAGCTTTTACAAAATGTGGTCTGCTATTTGTTTGCCTGTCAATATTACTAGAAAAATTAAGAATTTTGCTCAGATTTTAATTTATTAAATAAAACAAAAATTGTCGAAATCTAAAAGAAATATTCATATATCTGGTAATAATAAAAACAAAGAAAGGCAGACCACATTTTGGAATACACCCCTATTATTTTGTAATTATGAACTCTAGAATTTTAATTTATATATATTTGGCGGTGTCGTATAGTTTGCACTAATGATTGATCGGACTAACGTTTTATTTGACGGTTAGGTTAGGTTAGGACAATTTCTGGGCCGAGCGCTGCGGCTAGGAAAGGCTAGGGGGCCGCGCGCTGCGGCCACAAGTGTTACTGATCAGCTGACTTTAGTGCAAAAGTACGTTAGTTCAATCGGACATTAGTGCAAACGATATAGCATCTATTTGGCTTTGATTTAAATTTCAAAGATCAAAGACGACCTTCAAGTCGACTTAAAACTCATGTTTCCGTATCAAAAAAATTCTAATGAATTGTGTCAATCTTTCTCCGATTGTGTCATCTTTAAAATAAAAAACTAATTTTATTCATAATGAAGAATACATAAATTACGTATAAACCTTGATTTACATTTTTCGAGAAAAAAATAGTTTATTGCAAACATATTTCTGCATAAACGTAAAAATAGTAAATCATTTAAATCTACATTTAATTCAATTCAAACAGTATATTTATAATCATCATTACGTAGCTATTTCATTGTTTCAATCATTAAGTGGTGCACCCCCCCCCCTTCCGGTTATGGGTGGGAGCCGATCCCTCCCTCCCTCCTTCATTATTCTAGATTGATAAAGCAAATTATTGTACTTTGTTAATTCCCTTGTTTTAGGTGAATTTGATGCATAAACTGCAGAGCGAGATATTTTTAGCTGAACTAGAGTCAAGCCGTGCAGCAGGAGCTGGAAAACTTGAATTTAAAAGATTTAAACGAAACTAATGCAAAATGTGATAAATCTTTTTCACTGAAGGTTGTAAAAAAAAGTTTTTTTTTACATTTGAAAAAAAATGCACTGTACGTATACGTAGTAATTATTTATGATAAATGGTCCGAATTTATTTATAATAATTTATATCAAAAAATATTTCCCCGGAAGCCCGATGCAAATTTCACTAAGCACATATGTTAGAGCCGGCCCGTACGCATGCGCAATGTTTATAAATACTGCTACGCCAAAAACATCTGAAAATCCAGGGAGAACGCTTTCTTTTCAACTGCGTAACTTATTTAAATGCTTTCCTTTCTCCAGTTCAACTTAATGCATTTTTTACATGGAAAACAAAACAAAGACATTTAAAAATTACGATATATTACTTATGTTTAGCATTGTTGTTGAGTAAATGAATTTTGTTTGTTGATTTGTTCATTCGCGACATGGCTAAATGAATTAGAAATTAAAGTGAATTTGCTTCAGTTACAGCTATAGATTATTTTTATAGTTGTGTACATTCTAGCTAGTACTGTATACTAAAATTAACTGATTTGTTTTTACTCTAAAATACTAAAAATATTATTATTATATTCCTGAGAACGATTTTTGGACACCCCAGGCCCCCCTCCTATCAATTATGTACATGGATCTTACAGAAAGTGTCTCAACTTAACCTAACCCGTGGCCGCAGCGCTCGGCCCAGAAAGTGTCTTAACTAACCTAACCCGTGGTCGCAGCGCTCGGCTCCCTAGCCCATCCTAGCCGCAGCGCTCGGGCCAGAAAGTGTCTTAACCTAACCTAACCCTAAATAATGCTAAATAAATACTAATTTTGTCATGTACAAAATTGATAGGGGGGGGGGGGGGGGTCCAAAAATCGTTCACTAGGACAGACCCTTATAATTACAATGTTGTACTTTTCAGATATCGATAAAAAAATAGAAAATATGTATTTGAAATTTGTCAATAAAATTCATACATTTGTTAATTTGAAAAGACATAGAAATCAGGCGTATATAGGGGGGATATTGGTAACCAGCCCCCCCCCCCGTATACGCCCTCAAATTAAGGTTAATTTAATTCATACATACACATTAGAGATTGTAATATGGGAAGTTATTTTAATAAACATTTTATTAATTTGTTTAAATTATTCTTTCCAGAGTTAATCTACATAAAGATGTGCACAATAATAGTAACAATACGATCTGTGCTGTGGGCAGTAATGACCATAGTCGGTACATTAATGATTTTAGTTGCTCTGTTCACCAATAGATGGCTCCAGGGGAGAGAAACTGGACGAATTACTAGTGTAGGTAAGTGCAAGAAAGAAATACCAGGAGTCTTCAAAGGATTTAAGTTTTTGGCACATACTTATATTTTCTAATCTCTCTATATCTTTGTAACCTGATAGTACGTAAACCTTTGGTATTTCAAACTTTGACTATTTTCACAGATTGCATAGTTATAAATTTAAAAGGTCTCCGCTATCGAGTTGCAAAGATAAAAGGATTAGAAAATCAGAGTTTGTGGCAAAACATTATTTCCTTTATATAACAAGAACAGGAAAACTTAGAAAGGAATAGAAATATATTTTCCCGAAATGTATTTTATTTTACATTTTTTGTTATCTATATATATATATAGATATATATACGTCCCATATCATATTAGATTATCTCCAAGTTTTAACGCCAAAATAAACCCATAATACTCAAAAAACCTCGCATTCTTAAATTAGCCTTATTCAATTTTTCAAAACAATTCATTCTTCTTGAATTTTCTGATTAGTCCCAAAAATCGTAATTTTGACCGATTGATGATTTAATATGATGTGGGACACCCTGTATATATTGCTTGTCTGCCTGTCCGATTGTGTCCAATAAACGTCAAAACGGCTAAGATCGGGCCAAAATTTGTTGAGAACCCTCACATGACCCCAGGGGAGGTGTATGAATGATCAAAATTACAGTTGTCTTAAAAAAAATTTATTATAATAAAAATTTTAAAAATCACTAAAAAATTTTAAATCTTCAAAAGACATAAATTTTGTCTTATCAAAGTGATCATGCTTAAAGATTGAGCAATTATTAAAAGTTGAAATTTGGAAGATGGGCGCGACGCCTATTTTTTTAAAAGTTTCTTTCGTTCTTTCTTACAGTCTCATTTGACTGTTCTGGCTTGAATTTGTTTATATTCTTCCCCAAAGTTTTCCAGGGGAAGAGGGAGGCCGGAGGGGACATCCCCCCAATCTTCCAGGGAGGCGGATCCGCGGAGGTTTCCCATTCAAATGGGGAGGGGACGATTCCCCGCCCTTGAACCGTCTCTAAATATAGCTAATTAAAGTAAATCTGAAGTGTAATTGTATAAAATTAGTCTCCTTAAGTTAAGAGAACCCTCTTTAATTTTATTTGGTTATTATTAAGTTATTAAACCTCTCTTGTGAAAATAAACAACTTAAACCTAACTTTTTAATCAAAAGAACAATGATAATAATAAATGAAATAAATAACAAATTATTTATTTATGAAATATAACAAATGGGCAGGGGGGGGGGGTAATAAAAATGGGACATTATTAGGCATGTTTTTTCATTCTTTTTGATACTTTTTACCCTAATTTTTGTTGATTCTCCCCTAGAAATCATTTATTTCCCCTAATAAATAAAATAAATGTTTAAGCTCTCGCTAACAAACATAAAATATGGAAAAAAATGATTTTCATACGGGGGGCAATGCTTTTTTGAGAAAATATACACCCCTGAATGAAGGGACAGGGGTTGCTTGAAAAACAAATCCCGATCGACACTGCTTTAATCGCATCTGGACTCTGGATCATCATAAAATTTCATCTTCACATAAATATTTTTTTATAATAATCATCTTTAGTTATATATATACATATATCAATAAAATAAAGGGATACAAAATAAGAGTACGAATTTAAGAAAAGAATTCTTCTTTTTGATAACACATCAATCTCTCTAGAAGGAATAAGTTATTAAACGTACAATCCTAATCCTATTTGGCCCTATGTCCTGAATTTTTACTGAAAAGTACGTTACAACATGCTGTAGCTGCAAAAAAAGTTGGTTTGGTACTTCAAATGATCATAAGTGTTTAGTGAATGAGCCAATGCTAATTCCATTAAAATCCAAGCATCAAAAAATGGTTCAACTATGTGGATTTTTGTAAAATTCAGGGATGTTATTTTTTTAGAATTACATCCCCTCCTTGGGGGTGGGGAAAATGATTTTTGATGATTTGGAAGGAAAAAAAGTGAAAAATATCAAAAGGCATGGGGAGGGGAAGAAAAATGATTTTTCGAGAAAATATACAGGCCCTGGTAAAATTTGACTCTATAAAAGTATTAAACTGTTAATAGAATTTAAAAATAAAAGTGCAACAGTAACCAAATATTTTACCTTATTTCAGGTCAGGCGATGGATTCCTTCATGAATATCGCCAACAACGTGGAGAACGTGATAAAGGACGGCGAGGGAGGGCTGGGTAGTGTACTAGACAAGAATATTGGTATTTTCCTAGACTGCAAGGAGATAGCAGGACAACAGGTTATACAGGGGATATATATTGTATATTTACCTAGACTGCAAGGAGATAGCAGGACAACAGGTTATATAGGGGATATATATTATATATTTTCCTAGACTACAAGGAGATAGCAGGACAACAAGTTGTACATTCCTTGGTCGATATATGCTATACTATCATAGTAGTAATCTTACTAATTTACAGATTGGGAGTTTACTTGGACTTATCCTTGGTCGATATATGCTATACTATATCATAGCAGTACTCTTACTAATTTACAGATTGGGAGTTTACTTGGACTTATCCTTGGTCGATATATGCTATACTATATCATAGAAGTAATCTTACTAATTTACAGATTGGGAGTTTACTTGGGCTTATCCTTGGTCGATATATGCTATACGGTATCATAGTAGTAATCTTACTTATTTACAGATTGGGAGTTTACTTGGACTTATCCTTGGTCGATATATGCTATACTATATCATAGTAGTAATCTTACTAATTTACAGATTTGGAGTTTACTTGGACTTATCCTATAGCATAGCATAGTAATCTTACTAATTTACATATTGGGAGTTTACTTGGACTTATCCTTGGTCGATATATGCTATACTAACTCATAGCAGTAATCTTACTAATTTACAGATTGGGAGTTTACTTGGACTTATCCTTGGTCGATATATGCTTTACCATATCATAGTAGTAATCTTACTAATTTACAGATTGGGAGTTTACTTGGACTTATCCTTGGTCGATATTTGCTATACTATCATAGCAGTAATCTTACCAATGAAATTAATCATATCAAAGGTACACTTAAAAAAATTAAAACTGAAATTTTTTATTCGGATACAACTTGCAGATTTCCACAGCAAAGATTAGTTTAAAGGGATTGTTCACGAAAAATGAAATGGGTATAGGCTTACGGCGAAAAATAAGCGTTTTTGATCGATACAAATCTTAATTTATATCTGTTGCCTCTATATGGAGAAAATTACTAAAACGACTTATACTAAAGAACGTAGCGTCCGTACAAATTCAGAAAGTTGCAACATAGGACTCAGATAAAAAATAATCAATTTAATTAATCATGCAGATATTAAAACCTGAAGTAATCGATTATTTTTCGACAAATTCGTATAAAGTTAATATTTCATAATATTTGTTATTTGTTTTATAAATAATGCACTTAAAACGACTTTTTTCGCTAGGTGTCTCTGCCACTTATGTAATCATTCAAAGCACCGAGAGCATAGACATCAGGCGGCCAACTATTTCGTCATTTTAAGTGTATTTTACGATCCTAGTCGTATATTGCAATTTTCTGAATTTTTATGGACGCTACGTTCTTCAGTATAAGTCGTTTTTAACAATTTTCTCCTTATAGACGCATCATAATGAAGTAAAATTAGTAGCGATCAAAAGCGATTATTTTTTGCCGAAAGCCTATACCCCCTTTAATTTTTCGCGAACATTCCCTTTAAAAACGGAAAAAATATGAATAGTATTTTACAAGATAAGAAAACTGAAATATCGTTTCTCAGATATAGGATTAAGGGTTTCCATGTTTAGGTCATTCAACAAAAGCTTACCAAAAATCACAAAATTAGGGGTCAACAACAAATAAGAATGGGTTTTAAAATAAGAAAAAGTTTATTTTTTTTTAAATGGGATATTTTGTTTTCCATCTTAAAACTTAAAACAAAAATTAAACGATGTCAATTCTTAAAATAAACTTGTCTTATATTTTCAGATGAAACTGTCCTCTATCATCAAATGGAAAAGGAAAAAATTCTATTCTATTATCATAAACTCGAAAAACAATACACAGCGATAACCAGAAAACTCTGAAGTAGGAAGACGACTTTTAGAATCAGTTGACTTTAAAAAATCCAACAAGCATGAGACACAGCAATTTTGCAGTGTAGACACTTGACAGTTCAATTTATTTAAATCAGGTATTTAATAGTGAAACTACAGGGTGTCCCACGAAACATGACAATAGCAAGACGAATTGAAAGTCGTCTTTGGTATTTGAATTTATTTTTGACATTTAGTCTTCTATCTACTTTAACATGTATTATGATTTGAAAAATAATTATTTCGATTGTGTGGAAAATTAATGATTTTTTTAGGTTTTTGCTGGAGAGTGTATTCCTGACCTTGACAAACTTTTCTCCGATAAAGGACTGTTCTCGGAGAACGACCAGGACTATCCTCACGCCTGGAAAGCTGGGATCGGATGTTTCATCATAGGTCTGGGAATCATGGTGTTGACGGTGATGTTGTCCTTGCTGACCCCCTGCTGCAGGAGCTGTCTCTGCTGCTCCGTCTTCACTGTCTGCGGTTCATTTCAATCCTTCGCAGCAATCCTTTTTACACTCGGCCTTCTCTCATTCCCAGCAGGTAACCCAGCACCCCTGTCCGTGCGCATATCAAATATAGCTTGTTTGTTTGATTGTTTGTAAGTATCCATGCAATAAACGTCATAACGACTGAAATGATTGAGCCTAAATTGTCTTTTTTGCAACTTTCATTTCATTTTGATGTACAGGGTTACCCACAAAGAATAAGACTTCAGAGACAATTGTACTGAACTTATCTAGTCCGATTTCTTGCATTCAGAAGAGTTTATCTGGAACATTTATTAACATTTATCATTTGTATATTTTTAAATGCATCAATTTTAACAGAAAAATCCGGGAAAATTAGTTTTTTGTTGAAAAAATGGCGAATTGAAAAGCAAAAGTTAAAAGCCTAGAATGTAAATAAATTCCTAATGTTAATCTTGAAACAATATAGAAATCTACATTTTATGGGAAATTGGGTTAGAAACTCTCAAAACTGATAAATTTTATTTTTAAATCTGAGAATGTGATTGTTTCACTGAAATTTGTATCCTGCAGGATGGGGATCCGAGCGTGTTGTACAGGCTTGTGGAAACTCTGAGCCCTTTATCATTGGACATTGTCAGATTGGAGGAGCCTTCTGGATGGCTGTGGCCGGAA